GCTGAGCGACAGCGAAGCCTGTTACTCCAGTGGGGTTGAAAAGTTTTTTCTGTCTGTCTGTCTGTCTGTGTGTCTGTCTGTGTGTCTGTGTGTCCGCACTACTCCTCCTGAACGGCTCGGCCGATCTCGGTGAGATTTTGCACACTCTTTGGGTATGTCCTTGGCTCGGCACACGCGCAATTTCACTACCCTAGCTCAAATGGTTCAGTTTTTATGGCGAAAAAACACCTAAAAAACGGCGAAAAATCGAGTTTTCCGCAGATAGATCACTTCTGTCTTGGAGAAAGGGGGGTCTGGGGGCGGGCCCCCCAGCCTCGACAATTTAAAAAGTGACAAGGGTCAAGATCGTGTTATCTGTAAAAAAAAACTCTATTTAGAATGTAGGGGGGTCTGGGGGGCGGAGCCCCCCAGCATTCACAAGTTAAAAAAAAACCAACAAAGGCCAAGCCATTGCCTGCCGCAGGCAGGCTAGCGCCGCAGGCCAAGGTAGGTACTTACGCCAGGCGCGGATTGGAGAACAGGCAGCGAGACATCGCGAAGCCTTTACGACAAGACGCGGTCTGGCGTAAACCCACCTTGTCTTAAAAAAGGTAGGTTTACGCCAGACCTCGTCTTGTCGTAACAGGCTTCGCGATGTCTCGCTGCCTGTTCCTCCAATCCGCGCCTGGCGTACCTACCTTGGCCTGCGGCGCTAGCCTGCCTTCGGCAGGCAATGGCTTGTCCATCGTCGGTTACTTCTTACTTGATGCATGCTGGGGGGCTCCGCCCCCAGACCCCTCTTCATTCAAGATCCCTTGTAACTTTTTAACTTGTCGGAGCTGGGGGGCTCCGCCCCCTAGACCCCCCTTCTTCAAGACAGAAGTGATCTGCCTGCAGAAAACTCGATTTTTCACCGTTTTTTAGGTGTTTTTCGGCTATAAAAACTGAACCAGTTGAGCTAGGATGGTGAAATTTCGCGTGTGCCGAGCCAAGGACATACCCAAGAAGTGTGCAAAATCTCACCGAGATCGGCCGAGCCGTTCAGGAGGAGTAGTGCGGACACACACACAGACAGACGGACAGACAGACAGGAAAAACTTTTCAACCCCAATGGAGTAACAGGCTTCGCTATCGCTCAGCCAATAAACCTGCTCTGAATTCCTGTGGACATTTTTGTGCATTTTTTGGATGCACAGATACGTAGGGCTACATAAGCAGCGCATAAATACTATGATGCATCATTCTGATCAATTTGTACACAACAAGGTAGGTTTACGCCAGACCGCGTCTTGTCGTAACAGGCTTCGCGATGTCTCGCTGCCTGTTCCTCCAATCCACGCCTGGCGTACCTACCTTGGCCTGCGGCGCTAGCTTGCCTGCGGCAGGCAATGGCTTGTCCATTGTCGGTTATTTTTTAACTTGTTGAATGCTCCCCCTACATTCTAAATAGAGTTGTTTTATCTACAGATAACACGATCTTGACCCTTGTCACTTTTTAACTTGTCGAGGCTGGGGGGGCCCTTTCTCCAAGCCAGAAGTGATCCATCTGCAGAAAGCTCTATTTTTCGCCGTTTTTTAGGTGTTTTTCGGCTATAAAAACTGAACTAGTTGAGCTAGGATGGTGAAATTTCGCGTGTGCCGAGCCAAGGACATACCCGTGCAAAGTCTCACCGAGATCGGCCGAGCCGTTCAGGAGGAGTAGTGCGGACACACACACAGACAGACAGACAGACAGACAGACAGACAAAACTTTTCAACCCCACTGAAGTAACAGGCTTCGCTATCGCTCAGCCAATGATGCATTGTGCCTTAGCATGTGCATCAATATGTGCATGCATTTGAGCATGCATAAAAAGGCAACAGAGCTTTAGTTTTAATATAACAAGGTAGGTTTACGCCAGACCGCGTCTTGTCGTAACAGGCTTCGCGATGTCTCGCTGCCTGTTCCTCCAATCCACGCCTGGCGTACCCACCTTGGCCTGCGGCGCTAGCCTGCCTTCGGCGGGCAATGGCTTGTTCGTCCATTGTCGGTTATTTTTTAAATTGTTACACGCTGGGGGGCTCCGCCCCCCAGACCCCCTACATTCTAGGTAGAGATGCTTTAGCTACAGATAACACGATCTAGACCTTTGTAACTTTTTAACTTGGCGGGGCTGGGGGGCCCCGCCCCCCAGACCCCCCTTTCTTCAGGATATAAGTGATCCATCTGCAGAAAACTCGATTTTTCGCCGTTTTTTAGGTGTTTTTCGACTATAAAAACTGAGCCTGCGGAGTTAGGATAGTGAAATTTCGCGTGTGCCGAGCCAAGGGCATACCGAAAAAGTGTGCTAAATCTCACCGAGATCGGCCGAGCCGTTCAGGAGGAGTAGTGCGGACTCACACACAGACAGACGGACGGACAGACAGACAGACAGACAGGAAAAACTTTTCAACCCCACTGGAGTAACAGGCTTCGCTATCGCTCAGCCAATTATCAAATTTTGATGAAGTAGGAGAGAGACAGCGCTTGTGCCAGCCAAATAGTCAATCATTTTCGTTTTGCATCCGGAGCAAAATTTACGACACCTTCAACAATTAAATTTACCCACGATTTCTTTTACAGTGTACTGCCCGACATAATCAAAACTTAACAAGGTAGGTTTAAGGTAAAAAATCAATTGTGGGTCACGAATCAATTGTGGGTCATTTTTTTCGACGGGTCACCGCAGACCCGACAGAGATTGAATCGATTTGAATTTCGCGGTAGACCTTCCTCCAACCTTTCTTTGTCTTCCCAAATAGCGTGTATGTCCGAGCGACGACTGTAACGGCTCCTATCAGGCTTCAAAGGAAGGCCCTTCAAAAAGTCGTGGAAATGGCGCCCATCCAACGAGGCGAAAAATCGTGTGTTTTTCAAATTGCCACCGTGAAGCTATTACGAGGTAAAATGGGACGCCCTTGCTGATTTAGGTTCATAATAGGTCAGGGAACATAAATTTACCATAGTACAGCCAATATCATTCAATGCCGTGGTGCGCGGGTGCTGGCAAAGTAGCGTTCGCTACCATGTCAGACCCATTATTTTAGACGAATTTTACGGTAATTTTCCAGCTTTTTTTTTTGTTTTCTGCGCTTCTGGATGACTGATGTATCACAGTAAATTCCATTTTTCTGCTGTCACATTTAGTACTACGATACGAAGGTTATGTTAAGCTTAGGCTACAGCCCCGGATGACAACGCTAGCTCTTCCAGTCTGCCATGCTATAAGGCTTTTTTTGTTGGGGGGGGGGGCATTGCGGGGCTTACATAGCGCCCGGAAGGGGACCGCTCTCCAACTGCTGGCTAGGCACCCGAGGCCAGTCCGGCCCTGTTAAAACGAGTCAAATTAATCCCTACAGACTAAATATTCTGACTGAAATAGATAATAAATTGTAGCAATACCTCATGACAGGGTGTGGTGTTGGATTTTCTACCACACCGGCGGCCCTACAATATGCACTATAAAAGTTTCGTCTCTAATCCACGACGTTTAACTCACATCTGTATCACAGTGAAAAACGTGTCTGCTTGGTTTCTTGAGAACCAGGGACCTTTAAGTAATGAGTATAAGAAAATATCTTGCAAAAGTGGTCAATTTACAAGCAAAAAGACGAAATGGCCCACAATTGATGTGACCTACAATTGATTCATTGTGCTACAGATCCTGCAGTTTTCACGATTCCGAAAAATAAATTCAGAAGTGAATTTCTCTCGTATTTAAGCAAATCATATCCAAATTTGAGCTTCCTACAATGCTGACCCACAACTGGTTCCAAAAATCAATTGTGGGCCAAAACAGACTAGTATTTTTAAAACAGTCACAGCTTAGTAAATAGGGATGATAGACGGGGCTACTATGCTGCAAAACTTAGTCCAAGGACCATAGTTTAAGGCCGCACATGCACTTTTGTCACTAGGTCAGAATTAAAGGCCTTAATTTCGAATTTTCAAAAATGTGACCCACAATTGATTTTTTACCTTACGCCAGACCGCGTCTTGTCGTAACAGGCTTCGCGATATCTCGCGGCCTGTTCCTCCAATCCGCGCCAGGCATACCTACCTTGGCCTGCGGCGCTAGCCTGCCTTCGGCAGGCATTGGCTTGTCCATCGTCGGTTACTTCTTGTGTTGCATGCTGGGGGGCCACGCCCCCCAGACCCCCCTTTATTTTAGATAGAGTTGCTTCATCTACAGATAACACGATCTTGACCCTTGTAGCTTTTTAACTTGTCGGGGCTGGGGGGCTCCGCCCCCCAGACCCCCCCTTCTTCTAGCCAGAGGTGATCTACCTGCAGAAAACTCGATTTTTCGCCGTTTTTTAGGTGTTTTTCGGCTTTAAAAACCAAACCAGTTGAGCTAGGACGGTGAAATTTCGCGTGTGCCGAGCCAAGGACATACCCAAAAAGTGTACTAAATCTCACCGAGATCGGCCGAGCCGTTCAGGAGGAGTAGTGCGGACACACACACAGACGGACAGACAGACAGGAAAAACTTTTCAACCCCACTGGAGTAACAGGCTTCGCTATCGCTCAGCCATTAAGGGGCAAAATGCAAGCGTGCTTAGATGCCCAGAATATACCGCAGATGGAAATACGTTTTTTTGTGCCAGAGGGAAGCCTTATGTTAGCCTTGGTTTAACAAAACCAAGAACATAGATTGGTCTGATTTTTTGGTAACACTCTTTACCAGCTTTAGTTCTAGACTGTACTAAGACTCGGATGCCGAGCTAGATCCCCGCCTTCTAAAGAACAGAAGAAAGAAACACGCACATCAAAAGACTACTCGATGCTCTAAGTTATGAGAATTTTGTTTCGATACCTCATGTCCCTCGTTTCCCCCCGGCCTAGCACCCAGCTCCAAAATAAGAGAATGGAGAGAAGGGGGGGGGGCTGCTCATATAAGGAGCAATTAAATTAGCAGGTTCTCATACAAAGTAGTCTGTGGCTCTGAGGCGCTCCAAGTCCTCAGTCGCGGTGCTTGGACGCTGAAGGCGCAGACACTAGGATGGCCCTGGTCGTGGTCGCCCTCCTGGTGGCGGTGCTGGTGCTGGCCGTGCAGCGGCTGCTGCGCGCCTACACGCGCTTCCGCAAGATGGAGTTGGCCATCCCCGGGCCGCCGTCACTGCCCGTCCTGGGCAACGCCCTGGACTTCCTCAACGTGACCGAGGAGAACGTGTGGCCCATCCTGAGGAGGCTGTGGGGCCACCGCTACGAGCTGTCGCGCTTCTCGATGCTCGGCCGCCTCGTCGTCATCGTCAGCGACGCGGACCACATCGAGAAGTTGATGAAGCGGCGTGACTTGCAGGACAAGTCGCGCTTTTCTTACGAGTTTATCGAGTACTTCTCGCGCCGCGGCCTGGTCACCCTGAACGGCGCGGAGTGGCGCAGCCACCGCCGTGCCCTGCAGCCCGCCTTCCACCAGGACGTCCTCGACAGGTGGGTGCACGCAGGCAGCGGGTGGAAACTCCCTTAGCGCGGCTGGGACCATGTCTCGGGCGGCTCGCCACGGCCCGGTCGGCCGCCCGGCGCCCGAGAATAGGCTGCACCGGCCTCTATTATTGCTTAGAAATCAATTAAAAATTCGACTTTTGGAAAAAGTGGCCATGCTAAGCCACAATTTATTAACCAAGGAATCGTTTTCATTCATTGGATTTGACCAACAGACATGTTATAACAATGAATTTCTCTCCGAAACTTTTCGGCGGCGACGCGCTATCCTGCGAGCTACGGCCATCCTTCGCATAGCAAACTTAATCCGTTTCGTTCTCAGCAATCGTTCATCGCATTGCAAATCCGAGGACAGATTCGGAATCTGCGTGAAATTTCCTGTGGCGTAGGACGTATCGTTATATTTAAAACTCTCGAGATAAAGTGTAGTTATAATGAGAAAACCACGTTAAATTTGCCGGTTTTTCAAGGTCATTTTAGGTTATTTTCCCTCTTATGAGGGCACCCCGAGGTGCAGGAGCGCCTGCACGCCGAGGTCGTGGAGCAGCTGGGCGGCAAGGAGGACCTCACCTCGGCCGACATCAACAAGTGAGTCATTTAGCTGGGGTTGTCATTTGGGGAGCATGATGGGGCTAGGGTAAAAATCCAATCACTGTGAAAAAATTCTGTAGGGTCAGTTGGAGTAATTATGGGACACAGGGTAAAAATGGGACAGCTAATTCTTAGTCATGATTTTACATTTTTGAACGCATGACATAACAAATATGTGAGGTTTTTATCGTCAAAATAACTTCTGCTACGGCACAAGTTCTAAAATCTCGATTCTTGACTAAGAATCAGCTGTCCCATTTCTACCCCGTGTCCCATAATTACCCCAACTGACCCTTCTTTTGTATGGAAAATGTTCAGATGAAAATAGATCGGAAGTGCGGAAAAAAGTACGGAACGTCCGAACTGGTTCCATTAGAACTCATGTAATCGGGTACGGAAAAATAGTACAGAAGTTCCGTAGTACGAAACGTACGGGACCGTCGCGACGTCCGGGCAAATTTTGACGAGACATCCGTACTTTTTCTTTACTTTTTTTTCTCTCAGTGCTTGTTTGAACGTGTACCGTGTGGTGTGTGCTATGCGGCACTCGTGAGACTTTATGAGTTTACGAAAACTAGACTGGAAACGGCCAATCTCCGTTGCTACGTAGACTTCCTGGTCGCGCAGCTCGTATTGAAGTCGGATGATCTATGGCGCGTTTTGTCGGGCAGGACCCACCAGCAAAAACAATTAACACCCGGCGAAGCCGGTCCCCCTTTCCCACACAGCCCAAATGGAGGAGCGCGTTGAGCTCATTTGCATGTAAGACGTGCAAAGCCATCCCATGACCCTGGATTCCCACCTCATTTTACGTTTGGGAAGCCCGCCCACGCGACAATGTTAAGATAGTGAGGTGCTCAGAAGCTTCCCCGGGGCCTTCAAGGCACTCGTAATTTGCCTCCCATCCGCGATCCAACAGGTGGTGCTCTATTTTGGCCGTGCGATCCAGAAGACACGCGGTCTTTCGGACAAAATGAACCTCTAGCTTTAATGTATCACGAAATCTACCTTATTTTCGGGTTTACCGGTGGAATATTTTTTCTCATCACATCTGCAATTTAACTGCTGTTTCCCTGCGTATTACGCTTGTAAAGTACGGATTAACATCACTTTTACTTATGTTCAATTCTACACTCCCAATTTCCTACTGAGAAATGCCGTGCAGTCATAATACTAAGCTATATCAGCACTTAACGATACAAATCTATCATAATACAGATAAATTTGTTCGTAACCTGGTATGGTATGGTATGGTAGTATGTCCATAAATTACTGAAAACTCTTCACCACAGATTACCACCTTCTCCGCGCAGTCATAATACCAAGCTTTTTGTTCGTATTACGAAGAAAATGCTCAGTGGGATTGGGACTGTATGTTTCACGCCAATAAGCGCGGTGCCCTGTTTTTTCCAGGCTCAAGTACACCGAGCAGGTGCTCAACACTGAAAAAAAAGTGAAGTTAAATTTACCACACTGATCCTAGTTAAACAAGCATTAGTTGATATGACTAGAATTCTAGTCATTTTCACTAGATTTTTAGTTACATCTACCAGTATGGGTGTGGTAACATTTACCAGCCATCTAGTTAAAAATTCTGGTAGATTTTACTAAACTGTTTTGTAATTGTCACCACACTTAAAATCCACTTAAATTCGATAATTTTGTAACGTACTGCATTCACACAGTCCCCAGCAACCTTCAAAGTTCCGCTTTGAGCCGAAAATCCCTCCTTGATCATAGCATGAGATGAGCGGCCGGACGACGCACAGAGTCCTCAGGTGACGGAGCCGTGGACTCACATGTGGCGTGATAGCGCAGTGGTAACGAGCTTGGCTCGTGTGAAGAAGGTTCGGAGTTCGACTCCGGGCAGCGCTGAGGCGAAAAGCGATCGCGATTCAAAGTTGAGTGATGCTTGCTTGAACATCACCTTCATTTTCACGTTTTCTTTCTCTTTTTCTTCTTTATTTAGGCTATACTTTAACTAAAAAATTTAGTTCATTTTACCACACGAGGGTGCTGGCGGCATTGTGAGGGTAACCAGAATTCTGGTAATTTTTACCAGATGGACGCTAACTAGGCAGTGTGGTATTTGTTACTAGAATTCTAGTTGGTTCCTATTTTACTACACATTCTGGTAAATGGCACTAAAATTCTAGTTGGCCTAACTAAACTTTTTTTTCAGTGAAGGAGACCATGCGCCTGCTGCCGCCCGTGCCTTGGACGGCGCGCATCGTCAAGGAGGCTACCGACTTCGCCGGGCACAAACTCCCCGCCGACACAACCATCATGCTCAACATAATCGGCTGCCCCCGCGACCCCAAGCACTGGCCCGACCCCACGCGCTTCGACCCGGACCGCTTCTCGGCCGAGCAGTGCGCCAAGAGGCACCCGTACGCGTTCCTGCCCTTCAGCGCCGGCATGCGGAACTGCATCGGCGGCCGCTACGCCATGATGGTCATGAAGACGACGCTGGCCGCCCTGGTGTCTCGCTACCGCGTGGACCCCGCACTGAAAAAAAAGTTTAGTTAGGCCAACTAGAATTTTAGTGCCATTTACCAGAATGTGTAGTAAAATAGGAACCAACTAGAATTCTAGTAACAAATACCACACTGCCTAGTTAGCGTCCATCTGGTAAAAATTACCAGAATTCTGGTTACCCTCACAATGCCGCCAGCACCCTCGTGTGGTAAAATGAACTAAATTTTTTAGTTAAAGTATAGCCTAAATAAAGAAGAAAAAGAGAAAGAAAACGTGATAATGAAGGTGATGTTCAAGCAAGCATCACTCAACTTTGAATCGCGATCGCTTTTCGCCTCAGCGCTGCCCGGAGTCGAACTCCGAACCTTCTTCATACGAGCCAAGCTCGTTACCACTGCGCTATCACGCCACATGTGAGTCCACGGCTCCGTCACCTGAGGACTCTGTGCGTCGTCCGGCCGCTCATCTCATGCTATGATCAAGGAGGGATTTTCGGCTCAAAGCGGAACTTTGAAGGTTGCTGGGGACTGTGTGAATGCAGTACGTTACAAAATTATCGAATTTAAGTGGATTTTAAGTGGGGGTGACAATTACAAAACAGTTTAGAAAAAATCTACCAGAATTTTTAACTAGAGGGCTGGTAAATGTTACCACACCCATACTGGTAGATGTAACTAAAAATCTAGTGAAAATGACTAGAATTCTAGTCATATCAACTAATGCTTGTTTAACTAGGATCAGTGTGGTAAATTTAACTTCACTTTTTTTTCAGTGCGTCGCGGACGGCCACACGGAGCCCGTCGACTTCCCCTACACGTTCGACGTGTCCTCCAGGATGCTGGGCGGCGTGCGCGTCGCCTTCACGCCGCGCGCGAGCCGCGCTGCCTAGTCGCACGGCACGTCGCGGGGTGGTTCCTGCTGTATGTCTAGGGGGTAACTTACCCTTAAAAATTATTGTGCAATTAATGTGCACACATTTTATATACATGATAACTTTAGTGTGTTAAAGTCTTTTTACTCATGGAAAATGACATTAATTATGTGCTGTCCTTTTCTGGACTTGCTTTCACGGTATCAAGCGCCGTTCTGTGGCAACTTTTTCCTCACTTGCGATGCAAATAATTCCTTTGCTGTTGTATGGAGTGGTGTTTTCCGGGCCATGCCGTATGTCCTATGAACGGGATCGGGGGGACCAGGGCCTTTTAAAAATTTTTTTCCGGGCCATACGGCCGCATCCGTGGGCCAAAACGGCTAAGAAGGGACGAATGACCTGAGGAAGTCCCTCTCGATCACGGAGAAGAACAGATAAGGAGATTTGGCACTAGACACAGACGAGAAAAAGAGACGCCAAGAATGACGGAATCCTTAAGTTCCAAAAGTGGCTCTAATAAACTGTACACCCGAGGGGGGACCCACTGCCCCAAAAAGTGTACAACTGAGTTTAGAATGTGTAGAATGTGTTGAATGTGTGAGAATGTAAAGATTGTAGTGGAATGTACTGATTGTAAAAGATTGTCTAGAATGTGTGTGAGTGTTTAAGATTGTAGTGAGAATGTGAGAGAATGTGTCAGGAATGTTAGAGATTGTATGAGAATGTGTGAGAATGTAAAAAAAAAAAGTGAGAATGTGTGAGAATGTGTGAGAATGTGTGAAGATTGTAAGCTGAATGGGCGTGCGGCCGACGTCTCCACATAGCGCCGTGAAGGTAGGCAACCCATTTCACGCCTGAGGTTGTCAACCGTTCATCATAGTGGTGTTTCTTTGCTTCTATTAATCTTGCTTTGTCGCATGAGGTTGCCAGATTTTGGACAACTTCTTTCATTCCTAAGTCGTGCTCATCCAGGGTGTTTGGAAGGGGTGTGAAATAATATTATGATCGATGATGATTTGGGTTTGTGGTAGCACCTTATTGGTCATTTGACAAAGTGGCGTAAGTCCACCTGAAGTCAGATTCTTTCTTTGTAAAAATGTTTCGGGCAGCTACTTATCAGAAACGCGTTCAGAATCATTGCAGAGTTTGTTCTAAATGTACATCTAGTCACTGTGCTTGCTATGGGTAGGGTCCCAATGATAAGTCATCAAATTTACCTCATGACAAATGCCTTTTAGACAATTACAGTGAAACTAAATTTTCTTTCAAAGGCATTTTTTTAAAAGGTAAATTTGATGGCTTATCATTGGGACCCTACCTATAGCAAGCACAGTGACTAGATGTACATTTAGAACAAACTCTGCAATTATTCAGAACGCGTTTCTGATAAGTAGCTGCCCAAAACATTTTTACAAAGAAAGAATCTGACTTCAGGTGGACTTACGCCACTTTGTCAAATGACCTTCAAAAGTAGATGTCTTAAGCCCGAAAATTAAACGAAACAAATTTAAATTAGAAAACCGTGTATTGTTTGTAGTGGCCAAAATTCTTCAAAGACCCAGAGTCAATTCAAAATAAATAGCTCCTATGATAGAAAGACACAGCTAATGGATACTTCTTTTCCCTATTAAAAGCTTCTCACAGTTATTCCTAAATGTGTTGGTTAGAGCACAAAGAGATAAAAATATGAGGGCAAGAAAAAGAATATTGCATATTTACTTTCATCTTAAAGTATATTTTTCATTTGGTAATCACTTGTATTTAACAAAGCTTTCAGAATAATCATTTAATCAACGACTATTATGACACAACATATAAGAAAATTCAGTCATTAAAATATAAAATAAATAAGAGGCACTGGAAACAATAAGAAAATTTGAGACATGAACAAAAATAAAAAATTAAGCTCTCCTTAAGAGCAGAACACACAATAACATGACCATTGACGTCTGCTTACACTAGAGAATGTTAATTGGACTTTTACCCGTATTTGCAGTAACAGCTTACCATGTACATCTTTTGGAATGGAAATAATATGTTAAATTATAAAATAATCAGTCATTAAGAATCGACACTAAAGGCTATGCAGTCTTTGTGAAACAACACATAAGAATATTCAGTCATTAAACATTAGAAGTAAACCTAATCCAAATAAAAAAAAAAGTTGAGACACGAACACAAAATAACAAATTTTGAAGCTCTACTAAAAGAGCAGAACACACAAAAACAAGACAATGCTTACACTATTATATGTTAATTGGGCATTTGCCAGTATTTGCAGTAACAGCTTACCATGTACATTGGAATGGCACAGTACAATTATTTTAAGCTATATTATAGAATAATCAGTCATTAAGAATCAACACTAAAAGCTATGCAGTCTTTGTGAAACAACGCTTAAGAATATTCAGTCATTAAACATGAGAAGTAAACCTAATCTAAACAAAAAGGGAAAATTTTGGGACATGCTCAAAAGTATTTACAGTTCAGCTAAAATCACAGTTGTTTACTCAAACAAAATAATTCAAACACACCAAAACATAAATTAATGTTTCAGTTTCTTCTTACATTTCTGTATGTCATTCATTGAGCATTGCATATACAGTTTACCGTTTTCATCTTTGGGACGGGGCACAGTGCAAATGTAATTTGATAAATTAAAATAACCATGAACGTCCATGTTCACTGGCTTCAAGCACTTGGCATTGGTTACTGCAAACCATGAGCACAAACAGCCAATCCCTCTTGCATTCTGAGCAGGTGGGGAGGTTGGTGCACTTAGACAAGAATATTGCTGGTTTGACATGGTTGCCCCACTCATATAGCTAAATGATAAAATTTGTCCAATGAAAACTGTTTTTTCATCTTTAAATTTGCACACCAATCTCCTACTGCTACTGTCTCTTCTCTAGCTGGTGTACTTGCCCTGGAAGAAGGCAGAGAAAAAAGATGCTGCACCTCACTTGTTCGAACTCTTTGAAGCCTGTCCGAGCTTATCCGAGTATCTCCAGATGCCAAGAGCCACACAAAAGTCGATTTCCTGATAATGTTCACTTTATCAGCAGCAACCACTTTGAGAAATGGGCTTTCTGGTGTCACCGTAGCATCAGCAAAAGTCTTCACACCCAGGGGACGACTCGACAAACACATATATCTTCTATGACATCTTCTGCTTTTTCTCTCCTAGAGTTGATGAACTCTGCAATTTCCTCCTGGTTCTCGACGAGTTGTTCAGGTCTCTTGGACTAAACTAGAATCTATTTCATAATCATCTTCATCAATGTCTTCTTCGGAATTCAAATTAGGAATGGAAAGCAGAGGTGGATTTGTTGCATTCTGTCTAACACAAATTTTGAACTTGCGAGTCAATTCCAGTGCACTGATATAAGCTCTTCTTACTGCAGCTTCTATCTCATAATCTTCAGGCATAAAAAAAGAGCAAGTCTGCTCTTCAATTGCTTTAGCTGCTTTTTTTGCTCGGGGAAAGATAATAGAATTTTGAAGGCTGCAGTACGATTCAGACAACATGTCAATTCTGCGTACTCTATTTTGAAGCTCCAGTTGACTGAAGGTGGTTTGAGTCAACTCTGTTGGTGTCATGGCACGAGCTTCTTTGAAGAATCCTTCACATGTTTGACTGCTGTACTTCCACGTCAAGAAAAGCTCATGACATTCACAATCTCTTAGTTTTTGAACTATTTGAATCAGACCATGGGCATTCACTTCAATGCAGGAGTAGGTATTAGATGTTATGAAATTGTTCTTCAGGTTGTAGCCATCAGTGGTTTGAATCCAATTTCTCCAATCACGCAGAAAAAAAACCCATTTCCAAATGAGTTCAATCCATTCCAAGGGAGAAAGTGTTGGATCCAGAAACGAGTTCATTATTTCTCGCATCATTGTCAAATAACAAACAGTAGCATCACTGCTGGTGACTACACTTGGTAAGAGAGACGTCACTTTACTGTCACACAATTTCTGTGCCGCCTTAAAATTCATCTTGTCCTTTGCTTTTAAGGAGGAAATTGTAAACTCATGTAAATCTTTCGAACACTGATTAATCAATTCCACAATGTGACCACTAGAAGCAACAAAATTCTTACCAAATGGAAAAATTCCAGATGCTTTGAGCAACCTTGTTTTCAACTTAACAATGAGATGAATCATGTCTTGAATGCAAACAAACTTGGAGCTGAGTGAAGCACTGTACCAAGGCCATTGGGTAGAATTTGAAGATAAGCTTTTCAGTACCATTGCTTTCAAGACTTTTGGATCACCATCAGCAGAAAAGCCTAAAATCTCTATATCATGTTTCTTGGCTTCTTCATGCAGCCATTCAAATCTTCGAGCCACATGGTCTGAGTGAAATTTATTGTCGGTGCCAAAAAGAGCAAGGCAGAATCCTGGAGATTTGGGCACAAGGGGCTGGGCCATGAAAACATAAGAATTAGAACTAACCTTGAATCTTTCAAAATATTGGCGTATGGTTGATGCTGAAGTAGCTGGAAATGCCAAAATTTGGGGGAATACCCCAATCTAGCAGTGGGGGAACGAGGCCAACAATTTGATTCGTTTTTAAAACGTACTGGACTTTTTCCCTTTACAACAGTCCCATCTTCACTCACCCAAATTTTTTAAAAGGGGAGCCTCTGCTCAGTAAAAATGACTTAAGAGGCTCAAATCTAAATTCCCCTTCACTAACTTTTTCTTTTGAATGCAAGTCTCTTCTAACTGTTGAAACTGAGGGCAGAGGTAGATTGGCAGCGAAGATTTCATATAGCTTGAGTCCCCCAAGAATGTAAATCAATTGGCTGAATTCCTTTATCACAGCACTGTAGGTCCTGCCTTGAGGTTTCTTGTTGGCATTTTCTTGAGCAGCTGAAGGAGTTCTTGAAGCAAAGTGCTGAGAGCAGAAGTTTCTGTACTACTTTTGAAAACTGGTTTCATTGCTGTGACAAATTGCTTTCGAAGCCATTCATTTTCTTTCATTAATATTTCCATTTTGTTTAGAATAGGAAAATACTCATCAATTCTTGAACAACCCTCTGCAGCTTGTTCTAAATTTTTTTGCATTTCTATTCCTTCTACTATACTGCGACCAGTCTTTCTTCTTCTTCACAGGTGGTCTTTGGAGGAGGTGGTCACTGCTGGTTCTCCCCCATTTCCTGAAAATTTGAATTTTCTTGAGTTATGTTATTGCAACTATCAGAACAGGGAAAAGTCAAATGAATTTACCCCAGTGCTTCCAGATGCATTCTTTGACTTCTTAGGTGGGCTGCCTTCACCTCCAGATGACTTATTTCCAGTCTCCGAATCGCCTTCACCTCCAGATGACTTATTTCCAGTCTCCAAATCATCAATCACAATGGTTTCATCTGACTTGCGTTTCTTCGGTGAAAAGAAGTCAGAAACACTTTTTCCTTTCTCTAGAGCAGCCCTCACAAAGTGAATTGCAGTAACATGGCGATAAAAATTGCCAGTATTCCAACACTTTGTTGTGGGATGTTTATTGAGCGCAACTAGAGTCGTACAGTCAGTGGCTGGGCACTTCACTTTAGCCATTAATTTTTTATACTCATTGTAGTAAACTTTAATTTCTATTTCGGTCTCTTCTCCCTCTTCTGTTTCATTTAAAATATGTGGTGCCTTTGCCTGCACCCATTTTAGAGTATTTTCTTTTAGCTGCTTAGTTTCTTTTGAAATAATTTTATTTATCTCATCCTCAGTGAGCGATGAGTGAGTTGAAGACTGATGGTCTGTCATCGATCCTGACTTTCTTCGGGGCACAGGCTCTGGTTTGTTCAACTTAGCAGCGGCTTGAATGCATGCTTCTATAGTGTGCTTGAAACCACCAAGAATGGTATACTCCTCTGGAATAGGAGAATAAACACCATAATGTGCCTTCATTTCCTCTTTCACATCTTTCCCCTCTTCAGCAGCTCTGGCTTTAATAATTCGGTGCATACAGTTCTTCATGAACTCTTCTATTTTTTGAAGTCCTCTTCTCCAAAGCGTGCAAGTGCATGAACATTGTCATACCCCATAGTTTCAAATACTTCCTGCATGCAGGGATTAAGCTGAATAGAGTACGGTGGTTTCTGCAGCATTTCCCACAGATCTTTGCCTTGAAACTGGAAAGAAAGAAAATGTGTAAGTCAAAGTAGTTGTTAGCAGCTAAATGTGCTACTATCAAACTCATCTCTCATCATTTTTCACTTTGACTTTCAAGAACTTTTGGATGGGCGTTTATGAAAATACTCATCTAAATCTAGTGATCTCATGCAGCACAGCAAGATTTGAAGAAGCAAAGACGCTATACTGTTGAAGTTATAGGCACATAGCAATATTTCTTTGCTTCTGAAAATCTTGGGTGTGCTGCATGGGCTTAGCAGATTGAAGACAGCTATTTTATTCCTTGATAACGCTCATACAAAAGTACTAAAAAATCAAAGTGTAGAAGCTCGAAGGCAGGTTCCTGATCTTACCGTTTTTTCTGGCGGTGTTTCAACTGGCAATGTTTTTTTCTGCAGTCCCATCCCCCCTCTGCTGCATTGTCGTCAGACTTAGAGGCACCATTCATTGTAACTTCAGTGGGTTGATGAAATTTGCACTGTGAAAAAAATATTGACACTCAGAAAACTGATTGTGGAGAAAGGACTGGTTTGACAAACTCCATGTCAGAGAGACTTTCATTGCAGCCTGGCCCAGACCGGGGTGTCAACAAAGCCAGACAATATTAACAAGCACTAATTTCACCAATAATAAATTAAGAAGCACCAGCAAAATTCAATTCAAAGGGTGAATAGTTAATGAATCTCAAAGGCATTGAATGAACTAATGAAACATTGGCTCAAAGTGGTCAAACAAATGCACTAGAGGTTATGGTTGACCACGTTAAAGAGGACACAGAAGCCCAACGCATAAAGATTCAGTCACAAACACGCAGAGCGGCTAGTGTTCAAGTGACGCACAGTTTATATGCATTATCTCAAACTGCCAGTTCCAAACGGTTTTTTGGGGTAGTTTTAAACGACACTCGTCGTGCTCTGGCTTACGTTATGAAAGGATTCAAATTTGAATGAAAAAAAAACTGAACTTAAGCAAAGGGCAATGGAGGATAAAGCTGTAAGCATGTAAATTAACACTTTCAAGTGACCAAAACCCTTTTCTATGACCAGCTAACTATATCCTGATCCTTTCCTCGACCTGCCTCGCGACCCTGGGCTGGGACTATACTGGCTGACTCGACTTTGACCCGCGTTTCGCGCGCTTTCAGGGACGATCCCGAAGCGAGCACGGGCCAGCGGCTCCGTTCGGCTATGGGACGAACACGAACTACCGCACTGGAGGGAGGGAAGTACTGCTAGAGCTGAAAGGAACGTAAATCTAAATCGAAGTTTTTAGACTAAAATAAAATTTTTAGAGGACTGTCCTTTAGAATGTGTAAGGAATGTGCAGAGAATGTGTAAAGAATGTGCCCGAAAGTGACAGAATGTATGAGAATGTCAGAGAATGTACAGCGTTGTGTGAGAATGTAGGGAATGTTTGCGAATGTGAAAGAATGTGGTGGATTTTGGCTGATTGTTTTTGATTCATGGGAAGTGAGGAAAGTGTTTTTGAAAGTGAGTGGGTTTTTCGGGAGGGGTTGGGGTTCAGGGTTTACAAAGAAAGTGCCCAGTGGGTCCCCCCCGGGGCCCCCCCTGTTCCCCCTTTCTCTGTTTCGTTTCACGCGTGGTGCCTGGAAGATAGGCAACCCACAACACCTATGGCCTATAAACTTTTTAGGAAAACACCACTGGTTGTATGTGCCCTTGTACGAAAATGACGCAAGACAGGTAAAAAGGTTTACAACATAATTTAATGTTCTTTTTGATAACTGTAACAATTTAAATTACATCTACAACGAAGCTTCAATAAATAATTTGGATGACAGAAAAGTATTTACAATAAATAGAATGAGCTTTGTACAAAATGAAGTTAGGTCCGCTCCCGCGACCCCTCTCAAAGAGTCCCTCGTATTCCAGGAGCGTGACATCACGCTAAAACGAATGCGACAAAACGTCACGTTTTCTGGGGCAGCTGACTAGAGGTAACTGTATATCAGCCACAGTTAGCTCATTCGCAATTCCGACGAATGTGATACAATGCTTACAAGAGTTTGACATATTTCCACATTCCTCTCAACTTGATGTCACGCTCCTGTAATCACTGCAAATGCAACGGCGATACTTTAGTGGCGATACAATTGAGTATCGCCAATAAACGGTCTTACGGAAAAGTATTGCCTTCAGAACGGCGATACAAAAAAGTATCGCCAAAATTTGGCAATACTTTTGGATATTGCCAAAACCACGGCATTAAACCAAGGTCTTTTCGCCTTGATTCGTTTGACGTTTATTGCCAAATCGTGGCAATACTCCCAAGTATCGCCAAATTTCGGCGATACTCTTGTGTATCGCCGTTTTGAAGGCAATACTTTTCCGTTGGGCCGTTTTTTGGCGATACTCAATTGTATCGCCAAAAAAGGTACTACAAGTATTGCCTTTGGATTTACAGTGATAGGAGGAAACAACTCTTCGTATTTCTGCACATTACCATCGCTAACGCACACTAAATGTTTTTGTACAAATTTTGTACGAGACATCACAGTTTTTTGTGAACGCGAACTTTTCGTACAAATTTGTACAAAATTTTGTACAATTTTGTACAAAAATGGCGAAAATGTGCTGTTTTTCGTACGAAAATTGTACAAAAATTTCGTGCGCACTAAGAACTGTGATGTCTCGTGTACAAAACCTATAGTGTGTGGTTTTTAGGGGTTGCTGGACGTTTGGCTAGACACGCCGAATCTCCTCATCCTCTTTAGTATGTGCCGCCGAGACGCCACTGTCCGTGCACAGGTATGTACAATTTTCTACGAGACATCACAGCTTTTTGTGCACACGAACTTTTTGTACAATTTTCGTACGAAAATCTGCAGAAATTCCCTGTTTTAGTGCAAAATTTCGTACAAATTTTTACGAAAAGTTCGTGTGCCCAAAAAACTGTGATGTCTCGTACAAAATTTGTACAAAAACGTTTAGCGTGTGCGAGCGAAAAATAAGGAACCACGCTGAAAATGCAAAGCTACGAGAAAGGCGGCAATCGGTGCAATGCGTTTGAGACCATTTTCATCTCATGAAGGGCGCGACAGCAGCAACTAGGCAGCGCGGCTCGCGCGCGGCGTGAAGACGACGCGCACGCCGCCCAGCATCCTGGAGGACACGTCGAACGTGTAGGGGAAGTCGACGGGCTCCGTGTGGCCGTCCGCGACGGGGTCCACGCGGTAGCGAGACACCAGGGCGGCCAGCGTCGTCTTCATGACCATCATGGCGTAGCGGCCGCCGATGCAGTTCCGCATGCCGGCGCTGAAGGGCAGGAACGCGTACGGGTGCCTCTTGGCGCACTGCTCGGCCGAGAAGCGGTCCGGGTCGAAGCGCGTGGGGTCCGGCCAGTGCTTGGGGTCGCGGTGGCAGCCCAAGATGTTGAGCACCACGGTCGTGTCGGCGGGGAGCGTGTGTCCGGCGAACTCGGTCTCTTCCTTGATGATGCGGCCCGTGAACGGCACGGACGGCAGCAGGCGCAGGGTCTCCTTGATCACCTGCTCGGTGTACTTGAGCCTGGGAAAACGGGCCTCGATTAGTAACGTTGCCTTATTTTGAACCAGAGCTCTCACTCTACAAACTCCAGCGTGTGCACATGTGTTTGAAGCTTGCGTGTACACGCTGACAGGTGGCGCATGCAAGGCAACTGAACGCCAGGTGGTACGCAGCGTATAATTGGATGTAGTGTATATTTTATACACTCAGCGTGTATATAAGACCCATTTTTGGCCCGTCCCGTTTATTTTTTGTAAAAAAATGACGGAGGGACGGGCATAATATGATGCATGCTGTGCGTCCGTTCGTCCGAGGACTTCCCGTGGTCCGATCTTGACCAAATTTGGAATGCAACCTCCTTGGGTGACCCTAAGAACCGCCCGGTGGCAGCAAATCCGATCCGAGCCCCGGGGGCGCTGCTGCAGGTGCATCATGGTCTACAGGGGGTCGAGGGGGATTTCGGCAACGGATACAGCTAGCAGGGCATGTAGGGGTATTTTTGGATTCAGGGCGACGAGACAAAACCAACAGAAGTTTGGACCCGGGTTCAAATCCCAGTGGGGTATATTTTGAACATTCTTTTTACTCGATTTTGTGCATTGTTTCTGATGTTTTTGGGGGTGCTGATGACGAAAATAACATCAATTTGGACCCCAGACTGAGGATCAAACCCCGTTAGGGTTAAACATTGGCGAAATTCACACATTTCTAAATGTACGGGACGGGCCAAAGTTGCCGATGTCTATCGCTACTTTTCCTGTTATTATCATTTAAACGCTGCGTGTCTAAAATGACTCGGATACCGAAATGGCTCTGAAACACCCGAACCACGGACACCGGGTCTTCGGGTAGAAGAACCGGGTACACCCTGGTATGCGGGTAGAATCAGGTTCACGCGGGCCTTGTTAGGCCGAGCGAGCATGCGTTCCAATATCCACGAATTTTCTGCACAACAACGCACACTGTCGTGCTTTGTTAAGCACGAATTCGTGCGTAGCAAAGCGCGTGCTCAATTTAGTACGAAGCTTAAAAGTGTGTGGTGTGTGGCTAAATGACTCACTTGTTGATGTCAGCCGAGGTGAGGTCCTCCTTGCCGCCCAGCTGCTCCACAACTTCGGCGTGCAGGCGCTCCTGCACCTCGGGCCGCACGGACAGCACCTTGATAGTCCAGCCCAGCGCCGCCACGGTGGTCTCCACGGCCGCGCCCAAGAAGATTTTCACCTCGTCCATGATCTCGCCGTCACTCATTTCGAACAGCTTGCCATCGGACGTCTTGCTCTGCGGAGAGAAAACAGACTGAAAATCAGCTGCTGCTGGACCGAGTTTTATGAACGACGGGGTGCACCCTCAGATTCTTACGATGAAAGGGCCATCGTAACATACGTTGAAATAAGAACATACGTACTACAATAAAATTCGTGCGCACTGTTAAACTAGGGGTACGCGCCGTTTAGTGTGGGCGCGTAGTGTGGCTGAGCGATGCGAATTTGTGCACTTCGGACTTTGCTTAAGTAGTCGAAATGTGCAGCTTGTGGGCTCATATTGAGTGAAATGTAGGTCTGGGGTATGAATGGAAGTGATTTTTGTTATCAGCACACAAAAAACTGTTGGGATCAACATCAAACTCAATTCCAAAATTTTGGTCCAAAATTGGTCAAAATTCGGTAATGCGCGAGTCTGGGAAAAAATTGGAAGTCATTTATGAGTTCAGCGCACCAAAAACTGCAGGAAACAATATAAAACTCGATTTGAAAATTTTGGTCCAAAATGACCTAATTTGGGATGAAAATATAAGTCTGGAGTGGAAATGGAGGTGATTTTCGTTATCAGCACTCAAAAAACTGTTAGGATCAACATCAAACTCAATTCAAAAATTTTGGTCCAAATTTGGTCAAAATTTGGTAAAGCGTGAGTCTGGGAAAAATTTGGAAGTTATTTTTGAGTTTAGCTCATCAAATACTGCTGGAAACAATATAAATCTCAACTTGAAAATTTTGGTCCGAAATTACCTAATTTGAGATGAAAATATAAGTCTGGAGTAGAAATGCAAGTGATTTTCTTAATCAGCACTCCAAAAACTCCAAGAATCAATATGAGATTCGATTGAAAATTATTGGTACCAAATTGATCAATTATGGGTAAAGAATGGGTCTGGGTTGGTCTTCATGGATCACCCTTTGTCGTCACCAATACCCTGATGCAGTGTTCTCAAACGGGCGGTCCGGCTCGGCCCATCCCGTCCTGGCGCTGCTTGGCCAGAGCGCCCAGCCCGGCCCGCCACTCTGAGCATGGGCCGGGTGGCGGCCCGGACCGTCCAGAGGAGCGGGCCGTCGCACAACCCGCCCCGATCGGCACCACGCTTGGCTTCGGCTGCGTAGCCGAGTTCGCAACGCGCTGGCTCGCTGCGAGCGGTGGTCGGTTCGATGCCAGGCAAGGCAGCGCGCCGCTCGGCAGCCATCCTTGTCTAACCCACTGGCCGCCTTGAGTGCGAGAGAGATGCAAGATGTGCTCGCTCGTCGAGCGGCGATCACACCTCCGCCGCCGGTCCACCGGCCGCCGGCGGCCGGTGACAGAGGCAGCCGAGCCGAAGGCAGCCGAACCCAGCTCGTTGCCTCGGACGTGTCCCGCAAAATTCGGAAGGGAGACCGACGGCCCATCATCGTCCACTGCCTAGGCGGTGGGCCGAGCCGGACCGCCCGTTTGAGAACACTGCCCTGATGCCACACCAATGCGATTCTTTCAGTCGAGTAACATTCCATTGCCAGCATAGAGCCGCTAAATTGGCTACTTGTCTGCTTGAGTCACTATTAAATATATCTTTTTCTTCAAACTCATGAATTCACAAATTTATTAGTTATATTTGAGAAGCCTTTTGTAATTATTTTATTTTAAACCAGTGAATTAAACAATATAGACTGGAATATGCAATCATAGTTTATATTAAGTGACTTAGTTTAGGGCAGGCTGATCTGAAGCAGTCGACGGAGACCAAGTTTTGTCAAATTCAGTGACTCGTCTCATGAAGTACATTGCAGAGGCCACTTGTTGCTCAATACGCCAACATAATTTACCTTTTTCATGCCTCGTCATATTTTATCTTTCGAGTAAAAGAATACAGTAGTATTAACATTGGGCTCACATTCAGAGAGCCAGCTTTTAAACCATTACCAATACTTTGTTCCAGTTGTCGTACACAAACTTTGGTGAAGTGAAAGGAATCGTGTCATTAAATCCAATTACCAAGTCACCCACCGCTCAAAATCTGAATCGTCTCATTGAAAATAACATCAATTCAAAACCTGTTAGCACTAAATATATGGATTATTCATTGCACTAAATACATCTCTATATGGATTCTTTAATCAATAGATGTTAGTACTAGAATATTGATGTTAGCTTGCAGCATTGCAATAGAATGTCATTTCCCGAGACAAACCAAGACAATTAACATGTCTTCTAATTTCAACAGAAGTTATTCATGCATTTACCTGATTTGATTTACTATTAATTTTAAAAATAAGGATAGTATCAGAGGGAATAAAATCAGTAAATGCACACAAAGGCAAAGAAAATTCTGTTTACAATCCACAACTACACTCACAGTGCACTGACCTGAAGGAAGATTCTCCTGTGACGGGGGAGGGGGGAGAGGGGAACGAAACACGCAAACCATTCTCACTTTCAGTTTTCGTATTTTCCTCTGTTGACATTCCGGAAGGGTTTCAATCATTCTAGAATATTAAAAAAGTAACTCAGAACCTATTTCAGAGCCCCTTTGCTCTTCAGTTTGTTTATTTGCAAAAGTGCCGTCCCGTCTTGCAGACGGCTTGCAAGCGCGGCAGGCGGTATGAGAAATTGGTCAGCCACACACTGCTACCAACCTAACCACGCTAATTACCTAGTTCAAAACGATGTTTTGAATATTTCAAACGATGATAATTGTTAATCTGAGATAAACTCCCCCTGTAGGATGTTTAGGAGACATCAGGTGTGAAATTTGGATACTATTCGTTCAGTAGTTGCTGAGAAACGTGAGTGATTACATACAGACAGACGGACAGACAGACGCACGACCAGTCACTTTTTGGAGCGCCCAAACACGGCAAGGGCTTCGCTATCGCTCAGCCAAAAAATCCAGCTTAATTTTAAGAAACTTTTTTATGAAGCAGTTTACAAAGACTTTCTGCTAGGAAAAGTAATGAACTTTTTCTTCTTAAAAGTAAGAACCAAATTTGAAAAGTAATAATCTGTTTCTTAAAAGTTGTTTTTGCATTTGAGAAGAATTTAATGTAGAGTAGGGAAAAATTGAACGCCTGATGTACGTTGTGAGCTACTCATTGTGTGTACTACGTATGTGTATTACGCATATTACGTATGTGCAAATCTATGCGTACCTTACGATGAAAAACCATCGTTATACGTATAAAAACGATCATAAGATGTTGAGTGTGTGCGCTCAGAACTCGGGAATGTGCACTTGCGATAGCTACCGCAGCGCGGCGGCAGGGACCAGCAGCGGCCACCCCGCCACGCCGGCATCCCCGAGGGGTGAATCACTCTGCGTTCTGGTGTACACATGAGTACATGAGTACGCGTGAGTACACCTTGCTTTACTCACAAACTTTACATTTGCAAACAATCTAAGGCTTAATTTAGCGTTATAAACGACACTCGACGCCAAATCGGTCGAAAAACTAGTTACTTTCGCCCTTCTTAACCTTGTGAGTACACTGAGTACGGGCGAATTTGTAAACATGAGTACACTAGTGATTCACACCTCGGGCATCCCCCTTGTCGCGGCAAGGACCCCCGCCCCTCTCTCCTACTCGTTTATTTATCCATATGTCCGGTGGCACTCTGTTCAAGCGTGGATTTGGAAGGGGTCAATTCCCCCCTCCCCCGAAAAAATATATTTCCAAGATGGCTATCTAAAAGCCAGGAAAAGTGCGTCACTTTGCGCTCAAAAAAGTCTACGAAGCTTTTGCCTTGTGATCACGAAGAAATTAGATTCATTGTTGAATTGATTCGTTCAACGAAGAATTGATTCGTATAATGAAGAAATGCTTCGAACCTCGAAGGACTTTGCTTCACAATACGAAGTGATTCTTCGTTGATCTTACAATGAGTTCGTTTCTTTTCTCGTTACAAAGCGGCGCTTTGTAGACTATTTTTAAGTGACCCTGTAAGGAGACCGCTCCAGGCCAGCATCAGTGCGTAGCGTACCTTGGGGTCGACCAGGATGTCGATGAGGGTGCGGCGCTGCTTGATGAAGTCCTCGTCGTCGTCCGCGCCGTCCACCCTGCGCTGGACGTGCTCTGCGCGCCGCTGCGCGATGACGCGGCCGGAGAAGGCGTCGACCTTGGTCATAAGTTTGCGCACCACGCGGCCGGGCTGAGTCATGCCGAACACCGTGTCGGGCCACAGCAAGGGCTGGAAGGTGCGCGAGTTGACGGAGCGGCCGAACTCGTGTAGGAAGTAGTTGATCATGGGGATGGCCTCCTCGGTCTTCTCGTCCAATTCGTTCACCAGCGTGGTGCGCACGAAGGCTCGCGACGTGAGGTTGTGGAGGTTGTCGATGACGTTCTGCTCCTGGTTGGGTGCCAGCCGCCCCACGAAGGCGGCCGCCTCCTGGGTGAAGACCTCCATGTACCTGCAGGAACGACCACGGCACTGGGACTAAGTTACTCGTCTTCCGTTACTCAGAAGCACCCTGCTGATCAAGTCCATTCTTTTTCTCTCGTCATCTGCCTCCAAAAACATACCTGCTTGCCCTCCTGGCGGAGCCCGTCGCCGAGATCCTCTTAACACACTAAATTCTACGTATACGTACGTACAGGGGGGGGGGGTGTCCTACCAAATAGGGGTATTCGATGGGGTATGAACTCGCGTAATAGTCGGGTCACTCTGTAATAGCACGCGTAATAATGCGCGTAATTGTCGGGCAGCTAAAATTTCAAATTTCACCAAGTTTTGGGTTTTTTTTTGAGGTGTTTTTAGCTAAACCCTGATTACTTTGAGGCGTAAAAGAGCGTAATACTATAATGGCAAGTTCGCTGGTTTGGGAGTGCATACCCCCTCGGGCCCATTTTTGAAACCGGAGCAAACGGGAGTGGTCGCAAGTCGGTCAGTGCTGCTGCAGGGCCTTGGCCTGCATCATACACACTAAATTCTTGTGGACTTTCTTGTGCATAATTATGCAAGCATGTACGTGACGTAGAGTGTTATTATGCATCATTTTGTACATTTTATGCAGGAAAATGTACACAATGATGCGTAATACTAAACACACCTTACGCAAGTGCATGCATAATTGATGCAGAGAGCGCGAAAGAAAGGAATAATTGGACTTTTCGCTACGCAACACCACCCAGCGCGACATGAGCGTCAACACACCTTAAAAAACAGATGCGTACCACTGCTGACGGCGCAAAAGGAAGGGACATGGGGGCTTCCTGCGTGCCAATAATTTTTTGGTGTCTTGGAGACACGCAGCGTGTAAATAACATGTGAATTGATTATAACACGCTGCGTTGAAACAACACCGGCTTTCATTATTGACACGCAGAAATTTTTTAAGAAAAAGGCGAAGTCTCGAACCCGGGCCAAAAACTTCCCGTGCAAGCACGGACCCACTCACCCACCAAGCCGCCATGCCGGACTCAGTCGCCGGTCGGAAGACTTTTTACAATCCTGCGTGCCAATAATTTTTTGGTGCCTTGAAGACACGCAGCGTTTAAATAAAAGCCAAAATATTATTTGCACGCAGGAACATTTTGTCCTACATGGGCACCGTAGGTAGACGTCTGAGGGCGTGAAAATAATTTTTTTTTCTGTTATGTGCACGCTGCGTGTACATAAAGTCAAATTTTATTATTTAAACGCTGCGCATAATATTAGTTTTTCCTTTTACACTCTCAAATTTAGCGGGAAATGGAAACAACTCAACCAAAGTCAACATGACTCCGTTTGAACATTGTAATTGATATAAGATCACTCAATTGAGTTATCTTCTAGTTAACTTGTGTTTTTATGTATCGATTGTAAAAAAAGTCAATTTAGCCCCCTTTCATTTTAAGAACTTACACGGAAAAAAGAGCTAAGTCCAAAAAATACGTCAAAGGTACCAACACACTCTGCTGACTATAGTTCCACTTGACTTGTATCCAAATTCCACTTCGTTTAGAAAATATAAGATGACTCTGCCGGGGGGGGGGATCTTTAAGGCAAGGTTTTTCGATCTGGCCGGTAATTAATTGCATCGCCAAAAAATAAACTCAACATCGCCTTTGGATTTGCAGTGCACTCACCTGTCGAGGACGTCCTGGTGGAAGGCGGGCTGCAGGGCACGGCGGTGACTGCGCCACTCCGCACCGTTCAGGGTGACCAAGCCGCGGCGCGAGAAGTACTCGAGGAACTCGTAGAAGACGCGCGATTTGTCCTGCAAGTCGCGCCGCTTCATCAACTTCTCGATGTGGTCCGCGTCGCTCACGATGACGACGAGGCGGCCGAGCATCGAGAAGCGCGACAGCTCGTAGCGGTGGCCCCACAGCCTCCTCAGGATGGGCCACACGTTCTCCTCGGTCACGTTAAGGAAGTCCAGGGCGTTGCCCAGGACGGGCAGCGACGGCGGCCCGGGGATGGCCAACTCCATCTTGCGGAAGCGCGTGTACGCGCGCAGCAGCCGCTGCACGGCCAGCACCAGCACCGCCACCAGGAGGGCGACCACGACCAGGGCCATCCTAGTGTCTGCGCCTTCGGTGTCCAAGCACCGCGCGCCGCGTCTACGAGATTCGAGTGAGCAGCACAGCCGCCTACGAGCTACAGACTGCGTCCTATGGGTACCAGCTGATTTTATTGGATTGGACGGGCAGGCCTTACCTTTGGAGTTGGGTGCTGGGCCAATTTAAAAAAAGGGGCCCGCGATGTCGTTCTAACCCGCCGGAACGTCACGCGTGACGCAGCCTGCGGAGAGGGCGGGGTAGTGCGGATTCGGAGTCCTTTTTATTTTTTGCCGAGCCTGAGCTTTGCGAGTTGAAACCTACAACCTGTGTACATACACGCGTTCAAAAAATAAATAATTGGGCCATCATTCCATTCCTGGTGACACAGACACATCCATATGTGGTCGGTGATGCATAGAAGTTTAAGTGGGTGAACACAATACTGTGTCGGACGAAAATTTCTTAAAATAACTCTGTTAAAAATCGGATTTCAAACAAGTTTGGGTTTTATTGTACATCCTCGGGTACATCTCTATCTCTCACGGTCATGGCCTACACGTAAACCGTGTCAAAAAGTGGGCTTGCGGAGGTTCACAAAGATCACTTATCCTCCTTAAAAAGAAAAAGAACTTTGTATGGTTGACATTGACATTTTCATCTAGGAAAATAGACAACCCAACCAGGCGATATCTGCCATCGACAATTTCCCTTTTACCGCTTAATAACTCTGCAAACTCAACAGTGTACTGAGTACACTCTCTTTAACGTGTACTCACGAGTACACTCTTTCTTCAGCGCGAGCTCACGAGCACTCCCACGAGCGTGTACTCAACTGCATATATTTCTAGGATCTGACCACACCCGCGTTTAGAGTGAACTCATCTGTGTACTCAGTGTACTCTCTGCGTCAGCCAGCGTCCGGCGATCAGTTGTGGTCTAGCCCGTAGTGGTAATGGATAAAGTGTCACCTTAGTAAGGACGGCCATGTCTCGTTTTGCAGTGCAGGCGGGCATGTGTCGGGCCCGAAATGGCATACGATCATGTGTGGTCTAGCCCCTAATGGTAATGGTAGTGCCGCGTAGGCAGCCCAACCCTCGGGCCCGCGCGGCGTGTGGAGGCTGGCCAGGCGCGCTGGGGCTCTGGGAGGATGCTGCCACCGGCGGCTGCCACGCAGTGCTGCCGGCCTGGCCGCACTGGCATGCGTATCCGAAGGAAGATCCCGCTGTGGCAACGCCGTTTCGGTGTAACGACTGGCAAAATGGATGGATGGATTCGCACTACGAACGCATGGCCACAGAGGCGTGCCATGAGTTCACAGCCGCTTCAACGTCTTATCACGTGGAGTCATGACCTCGCCCCTTTGCGACGACTCCGCACACCAGGTAAAGGGACCAGGTGGGGGGCACTCAGTGACACTATTCGGAATTGGTGGCATTGAACTGAGCTGACTGGATATGCAAATAGGAGCCTCATCGGACGAAACCAGTCCTTCAGTTTCTCCGTACCGGGAGGGCCGAAAATAAAAGGTGCCCCCACTCGTCGGCAGTGTGAGTGCACCGACCGGCGTCCAGCGCAGCGATGCGGCGGAAAGCCTCAGTCTGCGATGGCTTCTCTCTCAGGGACTTTGGCATTCCTGGTTCTGCTGCCGCTCGTCTCCGGTGAGTTTAAGCCAAGAGTCCGGAGCAGGTCGACCTCCTACACCGGTGAAGCAAAAGCACTTAAGGAAGTTGCCTTTGTTTTGCCAGTGTAAGCTTTACTCTGCGTCGCGCGATGTCTGGTTTGCGTAGAGTGCGTAGAGTCTATATGGCTGTTGTACATTTTTTGAGTCACCTCTTTTTTTCAACTAGTTTTCTCAAATAAAGGGGGCATTAAAGGTTGAGTTGGCTCGTTTTACATTAGATTTATAAAGACACAAGTTGAGTTACCTTTTGCTATCTCGTGAAATGGAGTCAGGTGGACACGCTCACACTGAAAAACCAAACGTGGTCCAGACCGCCCCTGACCACATCAGTTGGTGTGGTCTAGACCACGTTTGGCCACGTTTGGTGCGGTCTAGACCACGTTTGGTTTTTCAGTGCATCCGCTCAAATTTCCCTCATCCAAATGGTAAGGCGGAATTCCTTGTTTTTCAAGCGTGACGTCTTGAAGCCTATTTTTAAGGCTGACTCAAGCATGGCGCGGTTGTACCATTGGTTTTAATCTGCATAAGGCTGTCAAGTGCATCAAATCTTTCACGTCAATGTACAATGGAACCGTGACATGACGAGTCAGTGCAGTCCAGGCCAGGGTTCGTTGTTTTTTGTACAGTGCTCATTGCACTTTGTACAATTCTCGTTGTAATTCCCTTTTTCACAGTTTTCGTTTCCTTTTGTTGCACTATTCATAATTTTTCTTGCAGTGTGATGGTGTGATTCCCCCATGTTTCATTCGTCACCCGACCCACTGGTGTCGGCGGTCCCATCTACGGCACAGCCTAGACGTTCTTTCATACCAATTTTTTTCTCGGTTTGCTCTAGTTGAAGGTTTGTGCCCCGACTTCACGTGCAAAAATGGCGCTTGCACTCGTTTCTTGGACAAATGCGACGGCGTCAATGACTGTGGGGATGCATCAGACGAAGACCCCGCGTTCTGTTCAGGTATTGTAAATTGCACTGGTAGAACTCAAGCGTAGTTTTACGCCTTTCTTCAAGCGTAGTAGAACTATGCTCGGCTTTAAGCATAGTTCTCCATTTTGCCCCTCTCCGGCCTATCTAAATGCATGGGAGAATTTCTTCTCTACGCTTGACGTCAAGCGGAAAATCTTCAAGCGTAGTTGTATGCTTGTATCAAGCATACAACTACGCTTCAGTTTTACCGGTGTGTTTTGTCAACTTCTTGCTAATGTGAACTACATTTTATTATGTACAGGCTGGGCTGGGACCAATGGACCAATTCTTGTTCAAATGTGATTTTTTTCATCACTCTCTCTACAAACTGAAGTGTGTACCGTCGAGTCCCCTAAAGTGGGACGATTTTTACGGAAAATCGTCTGTTATTCACAGAATAACGATGACACCGAAAATCGCCGGGGATTTAAGAATCTTCATGTCAAAACACGTCTTTTACCGAAAACAAAATTTTTTTTCAGCCCATGGGGCTCCAGTAGGAGCAGCAAGAACCGTGTCCCAATTTAGGAGCCAAAGTCTCCTAAAGTGGGACAAAGTCCCCTAAAGTGGGACACGTTTATTCGTTTTCACCCAAAAACTGCAGTAGCAAAAAATTTCTTAAAATGTATTATGTTCTAAATTAAATTTGAAGCAAGATTGGTTCTGAAGTCTTTTTCGATATCTCGACTGGTTAAGCTGATATGAGCCTCTTCAATCAATTAGATCTCCTTAGATATATTTAAATTAGAAACAGCCGTAGCGCCTAAACCAATTGAAATACGGCGAAAACCAATAAAACAAAATGGTCTTAAAATTTAATTTCTGACCAAAACCATTTTATGAAATGTTTTGCTCAGGTCATATTTTATAAGTTTCGAAATACACGGCAAGAAATACATGTTGAAATTTTGAAAATTAAAAACCGTTCACCCGGCAACTTTTTTTCTAAAAAATTTTTTGTTCAAAATATGATTTTACGCAAGATTTGTCTTATGGTCGATAACGATATCTTTGTAGGTTAAGCAAAGAGGAAGCATTTGCTTTCAAACATTGACTAAATTTTGTGCTGACTTAAATACCGAATAACCGTACTTGCCCGACTGCCTGGGCCTCCATACCGACCTGGCAACCTAATATATACAAGGCAGCGTTTGTAGGACGCTGGAGATGAATGTAACGCCTATGAATCGGTCAAAACCTAAAAGAAACGAAGGAAATGCATGTGTCCCACTTTACAGCCCCTCAGAAGATTGCTTCCCACCGTAAAACGAAGCGTCGGAAACAAATTTTCTAAAGTGCATCTTGTAGATAAAAGAACGCGCTACAACATGTCTGAAGTATAGAATGGTCCGAGCATCAACGGCTCGAAGCCCCGAATCCGCGCTAGACGTCTGAAAAAACTTCTCTTTTTTTCTGCATCAAATTCCAATTTTCAAGATTTTTTGGGGGAGGGGGTATGAGCGGGAACAAGACACTCTGTGCGGATATGGTCTTGGAGGGGTCCTACCGTCTCAAAAACATTTTTTACCTCGCCAAATATCCACGCGTTGGCTGTTTACGGCCTAAAATAGGGAAAATAGTCAAAATGTCCCACTTTAGGGTTCGTGTTCACATTTAGGGGACTTGACGGTACTCAGTATGCATACTTGCAAGTACACTTCTGGAAGTACATTCTTAGCTGAGTAACTTACACATCTTCAGTTGCATATACTTGACTGCTACAGATGCATACTTGGATGAGAACACATCTACAGATGCTGAGTATACACTTCAGTTTGCAGAGCTTTCAAGATCATACTGAGCCTTTTCTTCGTAATACGCAGTGCTGTCATATAATACTAAGCTCTTTGTTCAGGGTGGTAACGTAAGACGGAGGGTTCTCAGTAACTTGTTACCAGTTTCTTCAAATTACGAACAAATTTCTCAGATTTCTATAGTTAAGTACTGAGAGTTAGCTTAGTATTGTGACTGTTTGTTTGGCATTTGTCAGTAGGAAATTGGGTTGGCACTTCTGTACCGGTAAAAAAACCTACAAGTTATTAAATGCTTCACTTGTTTTTTCTTAAACTAGTATTTTTGATCCCAACTTTGTGCTTTTCTTGTTTGAAGAATGCAGATAATTGAATCCTTTTTTTTACTGAAACAAAAATTAGAACACTAAAACTGAAGAAACCTTATTTGTGCACTCCCAATATCCTACTGAGCTTTTTCTACGTAATACGAACGAAATGATAATGACTGCGCAGCGAGGGTAGTATCCCATGGTGAAGAGTTCTCAGTAAGTTATGACCAGTTTCTCCATATTACGAACAAATTTCTCTGTCGACAGATTTGTGTCGTAAAGTACTATGAATGAGCTCAGTATTATGGCTGCACGGCATTGATCCGTAGGAAGTTGAGAGTGTATACACGGAGTGCAATACAGGATCATGTCGAGAAATGAGTATTTTTCTCCCCGCCTCAGGAAATGTGATTGAGGTCGCAGAGCAGCAGAGAGTTGCGGTGCATGTGCAGTTCAAGTCGGAACAGAACTGGATCGAGTTCTTGATTTGCGATGAAAGCTCCTGCAGCTCCTTGGATGCGCACGGCCGGACGTCAGATGGCGGGCTGTCGTACGTCGCCGCCAAGAACTGCAACACTGGTGGCCACAGTTGTACCATTCACCGAATTGTGAGTATCGCACGGTCGGCAGCTATCGCAAACTGGGGTTAACTTCAGACTATTGTAAAATTGTCCACCAATTGGGATAGACACAAGATTTCAATTATTCACTGCTACACCTATAAGAATTCCTGGCATTTTTTATCAGGAAAAGATTGTACTTTCAAAGTACCAAGGACAATTGAACTCCACTCTAAAAGTCTTACGAAGAAATTTTCCATTATAAGAAGGAAATTGCGCAAGCATAACACAAACATGGTTTCTCCTCGTATTACGAAGGTTTTTCTTGTAATGAAAAAGCTAAAAACATTCGAATGGCGAAGAAATATTGCTTCGTATTACGATTGCGCTGCATTAACTGTAACATACGAATAACGGGTGAAATTTCATGCTAAGACATTTATGACGAGTGCAGTCCAGCACAGGCCTTGTTGTACTTTTCTTTCTGAGTTGTTTTCGTTGCACTTGGTGTACTTTTCACAATTTTTCTTGCAGTGTACAATTTGAGTTTAATATGATTTAATAAAGATCCGAGTAGTTTTGTACTCATCTCTGCTAGTGATGCTCGTATAATTGCACGGTAAAAACGGTTCCTGGTTTTCCCAGGAGCTTCCTGGGAATCGCCTATGACTCTACCATAGGCTTCCTGGGAAAACCATGTTTCGTTTTTACCGTGTGTATTTTAAGAGTCAAGATGAAAGAAAAACAAAATGCAACGAGAAATGAAACATATTTCCGAGTATTTTAGTCTTGAGAAAAATTAGAATGAGCTGCACTCTCAGTTCCAACCTGTTCTTACTAATACGAACAAAAAGCTTTATATTATGACAGCACAGCGAAGCTAGTAACCTATGATGGAAGGTTATCAGTAACTTATGACCAGTTTCTTCATTACGAACAAATTTGTTCATTGTTGAACAAACTAGTATCATGATCGATTTGTATCGTGAAGTACTGAGAATTAGCTTAGTATAATTTATGGCTGCAGAGCATTTCTCAGTAGGCTATTGGGGGTGTGAAGTGCGAAGCTGCCGATTACCGCACTCCCTTTCGTTTTGTTTCGATGAAATAGGACCCAAGTCTTAAATCATAACGGGTCTCAATTTTTTTTCCGCAGAGTACTCCCCCTGGCTCTAGCCCTTTTGAATCCGGTGACATCCAGTTCATGGTGGAGCGTCGAGCAGAGGCGCTGGCCGTTTGGCTCCAGGGCGAGCCTCGCTACGCCGCCACGGTGCCCATCACCACCAGCAGCAGCAGACTGCAACTCCGCCCTGGGACTTGGATCTCTGACCTGCGAGTTAAGTTTGTCAAGTTGGCGCTCTGATCTGAATCCCGTAGAAAAACTTCAACCTCCAAGCGTCGACACGCCACGACCCGGTTCTGTTGCTGCACTCCCAAGATCCTATGGAACTTTTTCTTTCGTAATACACGAACAAAAAGCTTAGCATTATGACATGGCACAGCTGTAGTAACCTATGGCTAAAGGTTCTCAGATTCTTCGTATTGCGAATCAGTTTCTCTGTATTATTACTGATAAGTGTCGTAACGTACTGAGAATTAGCTCAGTGTCATGACTGCACGGCATTTCTGAGTAGGAAATTGGGAGTGTAGCCTATGCAGTATGGTGCACGCTCATCATCTTACGTTGGTTTTCGTGCGTAATACGATGATTTTCCATCGTAAGGTACGACCAATTTCCAACCTGCATAATACGCACGAATGTCAACGTAAGGTACGCAGGATTTTCAACGTAATACGCATGTTTTCAACGTATTACGCACGTTGTCAACGTAAGGTACGTTGGTTGCGATTGTAGTACGATGACATTTCAGCGTAATACGCATGTTTTGATTTCAGCGTATGTTACCCCAAGGGAAAAAATCCCTAACGTCCCTAACTAAAGGGATATTTCGCGGCCCCTTGGTATAGGGACGGTCCCCATGGAAGGGCCAGCCCCTATGGATAGGGACAGTCCCCTTGTCAAAGGGCCGCGAAATATCCCTTTGGTAAGGGACGTGTCCTAGGGTGGCCCACGCGAAAAAAAAAGTTTCAAAATCAAGGAGCGCCGTTCGGAATCTTAAAGTTCGGCCCAAAAAAAGATTTTTCCGCATTTTTTCGATATTTTTGGAGCAGTTTTAGGGGCCGCTCAACGCGCTCAAAATTTTTAGAAAAATAATTAATTTCAGTGAATAATACTTTCTGGTGCTGTAATTCGAGTTTTGATCCTAAAGAGAAAAGCGAAACGCCGAATTGTTCGTATTGATGTCTTAAATAAGTTAAGAAATACTGCATACCGAATTTGCACGTGGCCTACTTTCCAGGGGCCAAAAACTGCAAAAAAATATGGGGGAAATGCCGTATTTTCATCTTTGTAGGCCGATTTGACACCTTTCCCGCCGTCGGATCGTCTTCTCCTATGCGCCAATCGATTCCTCACACCAAGAGGACCCCTTGAAACACGTTGGACTATGCGGGTAAACGACTGCCTCTTTTCCAGGGGCGATCAATTTAAAGAAACGTTCAGAATTTGTGCCTTTTTTCACATTATAGGGCCAGTTTGACACCTTTCTGGGCGTTCTATCGTCCTGCTCTGTGCGCCAATCGACTCCCCATGATGCGAGAACCTCTAGAAACAACTTGGACGATGCGAGTAAACGACTGCCTATATTGCAGGGGTGATCAATTTAAAGAAACGTTCGCAATTTGAGGTTTTTTCACCATTTGGGGTCCGTTTGACACCTTTCTAGGCGTCCTATCGCCTTGTTCTATGCGCCAATCGATTCCTCATGATGAGAGAACCCCTAGACACAACATTGATACTATAGGTTGAGGATTGGCTACCTGTCAGGTGCCATCAAATCAAGAAAAGTATTAAAGGGACCTCTTTTTTAGCCGTTTTGGGCTGTTTCGCACATTTTGCCGCCCTAACCCCCAACTGATCACCGCCAATCAGGTATTAACCGTTTCCTCCCATCGTCCAAGGTGTTTCTAGGGGTTCCTCATAATGAGGAATCGATTGGCAGATAGAACAAGACGATAGGAGGCCTAGAAAGGTGTCAAACTGACCCAAAAAGGTGAAAAAAAAAAAACGGAAATTTCGAACGTTTCTTTAATTGATCACCCCTGCAATATAGGCAGTCGTTTACTCGCATCGTCCAAGTTGTTTCTAGAGGTTCTCGCATCATGGGGAGTCGATTGGCGCACAGAGCAGGACGATAGAACGCCCAGAAAGGTGTCAAACTGGCCCTATAATGTGAAAAAAGGCACAAATTCTGAACGTTTCTTTAAATTGATCGCCCCTGGAAAATAGGCAGTCGTTTACCCGCATAGTCCAAGGTATTTCTAGGGGTCCTCTTGGTGTGAGGAATCGATTGGCGTATAGAAGAAGACGATCCGACGGCGGGAAAGGTGTCAAATCGGCCTAAAAAGAAGAAAATACGGCATTTCCCCCTATTTTTATGCAGTTTTTCGTCCCTGGAAAGTAGGCCACGTGCAAATTCTGTATGCAGTATTTCTTAACTTATTTAAGGCATCAATACGAACAATTCGGCGTCTCGCTTTTCTCTTTACGATCAAAACTCGAATTACAGCACCAGAAAGTAGTATTCACTGAAATTAATTATTTTTCTAAAAACTTTGAGCGCGTTGAGCGGCCCCTAAAAATGCTCCTAAAAAATCAAAAAAATGCGGAAAAATCTTTTTTTGGGCCGAACTTTAAGATTCCGAACGGCGCTCCTCGATTTTGAAACTTTTTTTTTCGCGTGGGCCACCCTAACGTGCCCGGACCGGAGTGTTCAAGTGTTCAAAACATCTACCTCTTGAACATCAATGTACAATATAAGAAACGCTTCCTGAGTAAACTTTTGACGCTGATAACAATGGTAGTGTCGCCGACACTCTATCTAAAGCCGTTTACAAGATACCCTTAATAGGTGTGTAGCGGGTTTGCCTACCTAAATCACCCACATTTTGCCTAACTGGCAGGCTGATTTATAGGGCCTTGTGGTCTGGAGGGCGGATCCCCAAGTCCATAGGGCTGATCCCCAAGTCCAAAGGGCCGATCCCTAAGCTCATAGGGCCGGTCCCCAAGTCCATAGGGCCGGTCCCTAACTTGATAGGGCCCGGCCCTATGGCAGATAGGGCTGAGCCCCTTCCAAGGGGCCAAGCCCTTTCTCGGATAGGGCTTCGCCCCTTCGGAAAGGGACCGTCCCTTTAAAATCATAGGGATTCTTTCCCTTGGGACGTTCGCGTTACCATCGTAAGATGATAAGTGTGTGTTCATGTGTATTGGCAGGGCCTTTCAGAGATTGACTGTTTCAAAAGGCCGTCTTTCTCTAAAATTCTTAGTAAAGATTTTGAGATTCTCTGTGATGGTGAAAATGCTCGTTATTATTGTGGTGCAGCTGACTGTGTCGAATTTCTTTTGTATTATGGAGGGCCCTATTTGCTGGTGCAGCACTTCACCGTAGGACGTCGGACATTTAGAGAGGCTCCTTATGTGTACGCTGTATTGTTGTCGTCCCGTAATGAGGAATGCAATAGAAAAGACATAAAGTGGTGTTGGCAAGACCATTTAAATAGCAATTTATTCGGCCTTTTTAAGCAGCAAAAGAACAAAGATTCAAGAAGTACAGTATTTTGGGGCATTCCTAATTTTTAACAAGAATTACTTGCGACACTTAATTTTGTGACATATATGTGTTACGACGTGCCCAGTTGGGACAGCTATCTGGAATTACAATACTTAGAAAAAAGTCGACAAAGCATCTCCTCGTAAAAACGAAGCCATTGTCAAATCCACAAAGAAATGCTTCGCAGTATGTGGTAAAAACGTAAATGTAAAGAATAAATGAAGCAATTCTACAATCCTCTTATTTTTTAGAGTCCGAAGCAGTTCCTTCGTCCACATTGTCCATATTAGTGCATAAGCTAGGTACCATATGCATAAATTAGGAACACTGTTTCCATAATGTGCTTAAGCATTTACAAAATTGTATCAAATTTGTGTACAACTCACATCTGCTCTAAAACGTCAATGCTCATGTACAAAAAGTCCAAAAGTATTACGATGCCTCCCAAGAACACCATCTAAACCCGCCGGGTCGCTAGGAAACCATTCTGGCTCGCCAGGGCCTCGTCAGTCGTGGTACCACCTCGCCGCCACCCTCCCGGCGGCCACAGCCTTGGCGGCGACTGCTGCGCGACGCCGCCCCCTCCTCGCGCGCGCCGCCCTGGCCCTGGCCCTCCAGTGCACCACGCACTCGGCCGCCAGCAGCAGCAGCGGCACGCACAGGAAGCACGCGTACGTGGCCAGCACCCAGCGCACGTGCTCCAGCGAGACCTGCAAGGGGAAATAACTTCCAATTTCAGTGTACACATTTTGGAATTCCATACATGAATTTTACTGTAGATTTATTTCAATGGATTGCAGCCAAATTTCCATTAATTTTGATTTAAAAAAAAACCCTGACTGTTGTTGGAAGCATTTCTTTAAATTTCGACTCAATTTCATGAACTTTGAAGAAGTTGGGCTGCATTTCAAGATTGTCCTTGACTTTTTTATGTTCAAATTATTTGGAGTTTATTTCCATTTTGGAGACCTGCACGCCGGCCGTCACTGAGGTGTCGTCGAAGTCCTGGCCTGAGCTGCTCCGGACAGTGAGCCCGTCCAGGTACGTCTTCTCCAGCCTGTCCAACACACCGGTAGCGCGGCAGCGGGTGATCCTACGCAATATGCAAAGTTCGTTTCATCACAACAAAACAATGACCAATCTTATACCGAACTGGTCATGAACAAGCTTTCTTGTTTAGTAAAAACAGCCAATGTTTTTCGCTCAATTATTCGTCTTTGACTTGTGAAGTGAGTGAAGAAGAATGGCAAAAACAGGAATCAGTCCCTAAAAGTCGATGATTGGTGAATACTAATTGTTCATTCAGGGTCTGAAAATTACTAAAAGGAACTTAAATAATGATTTCCACAAGCGTCTCCGTACACGGTAAAAACGGTTCCTGGTTTTCCCAGGAGCTCCATGGAAATCGCCTATGTGTTCACCACAGGCTTCCTGGGAAAACCAGGTTCCGTTTTACCGAGTAGCTCCAAAAGTACTGAATCAGCGCACCCAAAATAAGGTACCAACTTCTGGATTTTTGTTGTTGAAATTGTTGAAAACCCTAGGCACACTGTGGAATTCAATCTCCGGAATTCACGATGGAAAAACGTTGCCCATGGACCTGGGAACATTCGGACGATTCCCGGAAATTGACGAATTCGTTAATTTCCGGGAATCGTAAGATTCTTCGTACATCTACAAAGATTCTTCGTACTCTTCCGAGGATTTTTCGTGAATTCATTCACGAAGATTCTGGGTCTGTTCTTCGATCTTTTCAGAGGAGGTATGTACCTTCATTAATTCTCAACAGGGCACTTCAGAGCTGGGGCGGAAGCGGAGAAGAAATCAACAAGAACAAAGGCCGGACTTGTATGAGAATATACTCTGCCGAAGCGGCAGAACGGCGACGCAGACGCTCATCTCACAAATTTGATAAACTTCTTCTCATCCTTCCGTTCCAGCTCTTCTCCGAAGTACCTTGTTCGTTTCCTGCAGTGCAGAGGGCGTACGCACATGTAGTCGAGGGCGCGCGTGTAGGGGAAGCCTGGCCGCAGCAGGACGAGGCGGTGCCGCGCTGCATGCGCTCGCGCACCCGCTGCACCCTGCCGCGGCAGTCCGGCCTCGCCTCCAGCGACGCCGCCATCACGCTGGGGATCTCCAGCGCCACCGCCGGCGTGTCGCACAGCGCGTCGGCCACCCGCTCCGACTGCGACGCGTCGCGGCACACGCCCTTGTTGAGCACGGACGCCCACTTGCCGCTGCGCTGCGGACACCGTCGTGCCGAAAGCATGAGCAAAGGGCATGCCCAAGGGGAGATGACTCCAGCCAAATTTGCGAGGGGTTACCCACTCGTTGTTTTAGTGTACACACGATTCTGGATTCCCGCGATTCCCGAACCAATCTCTGAGATAAAGAGAGTTCTTTCGAATAATTTTCTTTGTATTTGAATGCTTTTGTGTCTATCACATGATAACCATGACTTAAAACTGAAACTGTGAGGATTTTCCATCAAATTTTAAAAGATTTACGAAAGATTCCCGGACTGAATGTACACATGATTCCCGGAGTGGGTAACCCCTCGCAAATTTGTACACCGAAATTTCTCAAACATGTAGAATTCACTAAAATTCGTTTAAATTCATCGAAATCCGACTTAAATACATCAAAATTCGACTAGAATTCATCGAAATTTGACTGAAATTCATTGGATTTCTACACCGAAATTTACAGTGATTTCCCCTTGCGTACGCCCGGCAAATTTTGGTTTTACACGGTAAAATCGGAACCTGGTTTTCCCAGGAAGCCAATGGTGAAGGTATAGGCCATTTCCAGGGAGTTCCTGGGAAAACCAGGAACCGTTTTTACCGTGTAGTCCGCCCAGAAAAGAAATCCTTAACGCTCAATTTTAAATTTCAGAAAAATTTACTTTCAGTAAAATATGGGGTGTTCAGTTCTTCCCCTGTGCAGTTTTGCCCCGCACTGACCCAAATGTGCCGAGAGAGTGCATATGGTCAAAGTACTTCGAAGGGTTTTAAGCGTGCCGTTCTTGAAAAGAACCACTCCCTCATTCATCGGAGGAATGGAGCGCAAGAGCCCTTGTACGCTTCAAAGGCGTACTCTACAAACTCAAGTGTGCAGATAGCGTGCTTCAGGCTGAAGCCTGCCAGCACAGTTCACCTGGAACCAACCTCGCATGTATACTCCACGTTCGGGCATGCTTGCCACCAGGTGGCGCAACCTGCGAGTAGGATACACTGTTGCTGAAGTCCCCTACCTTTTGCATGTAAAGCACAGCAACATGGCAAGCATGCTCTAGGGTAGAGTGTACGTGCCAGGTTGGCTCCAGGTGGAGTGTACATGCAGGCTTGCTTCAGCCTGAAGCATGCAATATACACACTTGAGTTTGTAGAGTACGGCCTGTGCGCTTTCCACGAAAGGCGTTAGGCTACGCATTGCTTTGCATGAGCGCTGCTGAAGAAACACTCGAAGAAATCAGTCTTCTGAGTTTTGGGCCTTGAAACGCACAGGGTCAGCGCCTGCGAACTGTGGGTAGGCAAGCCCGCAACACGCCCGAGCTCAACGGGCACTCAGCGCCTGCGAACTGTGGGTAGGCAAGCCTGTAACACAGCCGCGCTCAACGGGTGGCCTATCCTGAGTTCGCAGGCGCTTGCACACAGAGTGGCATGGAGTCACTGTGTAAATAAATCTTCAATGGTGCACCGAGACTCAGAGTTTGTCCCGTTGGGGGCGCACCTTGAGCGTGAGGTAGGCGTAGCTCTCGTTGCGCACGCAGAGCACGTGGGTGCCCTTCTTGGCCACGTCGTCCAGCCCGCTGAAGGGCGCCGTGGAGTGGCCCGAGGCCAGGTAGCTGATGAGCACGGCGGAGTACGAGTTGCACAGCAGGTAGCCGAAGAGCAGCGTGGTGACCACGATCAGCCGGATGGACAGGCAGCTCGGGCTCTCCTGCCAACCTGGACGCGGCACGCGGCGCGGAGTCTGAGAGCAACTCGCAACTCAAAGCGGGGGGTGGACAGTTAATGTGGATGTCAATGTGAATTTGAATGTGAATTTGCATGTCACTCCTGCAGACCGCAACACTGAGAATGGAAAAGTCGAAGTCATAACCAAGATTGAGACTTGAGGAGAGGTATATTTTATCACCAAAATGAGGGTGAGGATTATTTTATCACCCACATTTGGGTAAAAAGTTTCCTTGTCCAAATTTGGGTGACGATGCTCGTACAGGTAGCAGATACACCGTGCATTGCCGGCTAAAGAAAACCGTTATCACACAAATTTGGCTTGAATAATAATCCTCACCAAAAGTTTGGTTGGATGATGAATTTATACCTCGCCCAAAATATGGTTTTGATCAAGACTGCTCTTACCTTCTCGGGGACCCAGCTCGACCCCCAACTACATACACGCTGAATATTTGCTGTGCAAATTTAGAACGAGACGTTTCAGTGTTTTGTGCAATAAACTTCTTTTAATTTTTTTTAGGCAATTTTGTTCATGAATAGAGAAAAAATTTTTCCAGATTCTTGTACGAAAGTCGTACAAAAAGTTCATCTTACACAAAAGCTGTGACGTCTCGAACAAAATTGTACATAGCGTCCAATAACCATATGAGACGCCGACGTCAAGAAATCACCGCTACGCGTCCACAACTAAGCATCCGTGTACGAAGGTTTGCCGTATAGCAGGGTTTTTCGTGACATAAGCGTCTCACGTAATTTGTGGACGCTCCCTTCACATTTGATGTGTGCTAGCTAACCCTGGGTGCAGATGCAACCCAGCACGGCCAGGAAGCAGTGGCCCAGCGAGGTGTTGGCCGGCTCCATGCCGGACCCCATGCCCACGGCCGTCCTGAGCCACACCATGGCCCTGAGCACCACGCACAGCAGCAGCACCGCGGCCAGCGTCATGGCCCACATGGAGGGGCTCAGGGCGCGGATGTACGAGTCGGCCGACACCTGGGGCGCGCCCTTGCGCACGAACAGGTGGTACCTGCGAGAGAGAGGGACGCACACTAAACTTCTTACGGATACATCCTATCTGTATTACGGACATTTTTGTGCAATTGCAATTACGGATAGATTTTGCTTGTAATACGGATGAAATCATCCGTATTACAAAGAGTTTTACGTCCGTACCATACGGATATTTTCGTCTGTATGTTACGGACGTAAAACTCTTTGTAATACGGATGATTTCGTCCGTATTACAAGCAAAATCTATCCGTAATTGCAATTGCACAAAAATGTCCGTAATACAGATAGGATGTATCCGTAAGAAGTTTACTGTGCGGGCTCACTGGAAGAATTTGGTGTCACATTTAGTCAAAATATAGAGGATTACATGAAAATGAGACAGACGTATCAGGGCACGTGGGAGCTAGCGAAAGGTTTGTGCGTCCCGCACGCACATCGTCTCCATTGTAAGGCCCCCGTCCTAGTAAACGTCCTGGGTCATTCCACGTAAAGTCGACAAGGCCTCTGCCACCATGGTCACCGAATTGATTCTTCTTTTCAGGGTTTATACCCCCATGGTACTAGTTCATGACTGGTACAAAGTTTTTCGAATGTAGCCCCAGGGGCTGAGATATAGCAAAAAACTTTTTTCTCAAATTGCTGCACCAGTGCAACTTTGAAGGTTGATAGCGTCGCTAATATGCATCGTAGACCAAATCTGAGACCAGATTTGGAAAGGGGAAGAAAAATCGAATCTACTAGTGAAAAAAAATTTTGTTTTGAAAAATTTTGTTTACTTTCAAACTTTTACGAAGTTTTAAAATTTGCACAGTTTCCAAGTACCTTAACCAAATTTGGCTCCCGTTGGCTTAAAACTTAGCTTAGACCCTCCTCTAATCGAAACAGTCAACCACAAAATACGTTTTGCGCCGTTCTCGAGAACGAACCACTTCCGTGGAGCTCTGCAACACTCCACTTCACTGTAAACGGTATTTAGCCCACCTAGTTTGGGCTGGGCACCCTGGGCGCCCTTCCCGATCGAACCCTGGCTCCGGACCTAGTTCCAGGGTGTCTAGCGCCCCTTCCAGAAAGGCAGCCCATCGTACCGCGCCGCACTGGGACCCTGCAGGAGGTGCTCCAAGCGAATCAACACATATTTCCCCAGTCCGGGCGCACTGGCCCGGGCGGCTAGAAGGCGATCGCCGTTTGGGCCCTTGGGCCTGAAGGGCCCCTACACTTACTCCAAAAGATCTACATGGGCCAAAGGGCCCGAGATTCACTCGGAGTCCGATGGGGCTCAAGTAACAAGGGCCCAAAGCAAGGGCGGATCCAGGGACGGGTTCAGGGGGGGGGGAGTCGCGAAAGTTGCCTACCTGCAGGGGTAATGTGCGACCTTTTGCCTACCTTTCAGGCGGCACCGCCGCCTTGAGGGGGGGGGGGGATCCGCGCGGCCCAAAGGGCCCAAGAGCAAGGATCCAATGGGCTCCAAGAGGAAGGGCCTTCAATGGGCCCACAAATAGCCAACAAGTTCAAGGGGTCAACCACTCTAGAAATCTTGTGTCCCCTTAGCGCTTAAAATCCCTGGGAAATCTGAAATCTTGCCCTAGAAAAGGCCAAAAACAAGGTAATTTTTGGCGGAATATCGGTTTAAATGCTGCGAAATCCGACGAAATCTTTAGCCTTCAGAAATCTTGTGTTCCCAAACATCCAATGTGGTTGCCCCCTTGTAGAAGGGGCTACAGGACAAGGGCACACAAGTGCAAGGGCCCAAAGAGGGCCCAAGAAAAAGGGCCCCAAAAGGGCTACAGGACAAGGGACCACAAAGGACCCACAAAAGCAAGGGCCAAAAAACGGCCTTCTAAGCAAGGGCCCAAAAAGGACCCAAAAAGCAAGCAGGGGCTCGAAAAGGGCCCACAGAGCAAGGGATCAAAGAGGAACCACCGAGGTGTTGTGCCTAGGATGACGGCCCGGGATGGTCTACTCGCTGCACTCTAGCTGACGAGGGCCCCTCGCGGGCCGCTGTCATCCGTTCACATGAACTGACAAAATTACCCAAAAGATTATACATTTCAATTTTTTTTCCTAAGCTTTACCTGCTTTTTTCGTTGCGATTTTTTTTGGAGGGGGGCGTTGCCCAATGTTCCGGAGCCCCTAGGGGAACCCAGACGGGGGAAATGTGTGTCGGTTCGCTTGGAGCGCCTGATGGGTAAGCAACCCGCAGGGTCCTAGCGCGGCGCGGCACGATGGGCTGCCTTTCTGGAAGGGGCGCTAGACACCCTGGAACTAGGTCCGGAGCCAGGGTTCGATCGGGAAGGGCGCCCAGGGTGCCCAGCCCAAACTAGGTGGGCTAAATACCGTTTTACAGTGAAGTGGAGTGTTGCAGAGCTCCACGGAAATTGTTCGTTCTCGAGAACGGCGCAAAACGTATTTTGTGGTTGACTGTTTCGATTAGAGGAGGGTCTAAGCCAGCGGTTCCTAACCTTGGGGTCGCGACCCCGAATGGGGTCGCGAAAAAATTTCGGAGGGTCGCGGCGAGGTGGTTGGGGTCGCCTGGGGTCGCGGCTGTTTCCCGGCTGGCAGAATTGTTCATAACGGTCGAAAATGCCTTTGAAAACTCGTGTTTTAGGCCGACTTTAAGCAGCAACTGCGTCTGATCCGAGGGGGTATTTCGTCCTCCCTCAGCGGGCATTTGGTCTTTGGACCTTCCTTTAGCATGCCTTTGTTACGGAGTGTGATTATAGGCCTTAGTTTGGGAGCAGTATTGTCTCAAAGTTGATAAAAACAGTATAAAATGCCTTTGAATGCCATTTTAATCCACTTTGAGACAATACTGCTCCCAAACTAAGGCCGATAATCGCACTCCGTAACAAAGGCATGTTAAAGGAAGGTCCAAAGACCAAATGCCCGTTGAGGGAGGACGAGATACCACCTCGGATCAGACGCAGTGGCTGCTTAAAGTCGGCCCAAAACACGATTTTCAAAGACATTTGTGGCCGTTTTGATCAACTTTGCGGCAATGCACACTAAACTTCTTACGGATACATCCTATCTGTATTACGGACATTTTTGTGCAATTGCAATTACGGATAGATTTTGCTTGTAATACGGATGAAATCATCCGTATTACAAAGAGTTTTACGTCCGTACCATACGGATATTTTCGTCTGTATGTTACGGACGTAAAACTCTTTGTAATATGGATGATTTCATCCGTATTACAAGCAAAATCTATCCGTAATTGCAATTGCACAAAAATGTCCGTAATACAGATAGGATGTATCCGTAAGAAGTTTACTGTGTACTGCTCCCAAACTAAGGTGGATTATTGCACTTTGTATCAAAGGCATGCTAAAGGAGGGGTCGCGTGGGGTCGCGAAATTTTTCCTGGGGGTCGCGGAAATTTTTTGTATCAAATTTGGGGTCGCGAACCGAAAAAGGTTGGGAACCGCTGGTCTAAGCTAAGTTTTAAGCTAACGGGAGCCAAATTTGGTTAAGGTACTTGGAAACTGTGCAAATTTTAAAACTTCGTAAAAGTTTGAAAGTAAACAAAATTTTTCAAAACAAAATTTTTTTTTCACTAGTAGATTTGATTTTTCTTCCCCTTTCTAAATCTGGTCTCGGGTTTGGTCTACGATGCATATTAGCGACGCTATCAACCTTCAAAGTTGCACTGGTGCAGCAATTTGAGAAAAAAGTTTTTTGCTATATCTCAGCTCCTGGGGCTACATTCGAAAAACTTTGTACCAGTCATGAACTAGTACCATGGGGGTAACAAACCCTGAAAAGAAGAATCAATTCGGTGACCATGGTGGCAGAGGCCTTGTCGACTTTACGTGGAATGACCCTCCTCCCGGATGGAATGGTGAAATTTTGCACAAAATAACTAGGACAAAAGTTTATTTTCTTTGATCTCGCAGCTTACCAATGGGTGACGACGGGCTGGGTGTGGTAGAACTGGTCGTCCTCCTCCGTGGTGACCACGGTCGCGGACAGGTACACGTCGGCCACCTCGGAGTGCAGCATGAAGCGCGCCGTGTTGCCGCTGGCCCGCATGTACACGCTCCTGAACGACCGCGGAAAAGCGCACTCTAAAAGCCTCGCCTAAGCGAAGATTCCACAAATAATGGTGAAAGTTCTCTTTAGAAGGGGGTGCTCCTGACGTTGTCACTTCTCTGAAAATTCACTGTACATTACACGGTAAAAGCGGTTCCTGGTTTTCCCAGGAACACCCTGGAAATCGCCTATGTCTTCGCCATAGGGCTCCTGGGAAAACCAGGTACCGTTTTTGCCGTGATATCTCATATTTTGTCGAATTGCTCTCGTATTCTGGAGAAAATCTCCACAGTAGCAAGTGGGTGTGCCCCTCCTCCCCAGTTTGCGCCAGGGTGCAATACAGTATTACAGCGCTCGGCGGTGCATCAGGGGCGGACTGGCGGTACTAGGGCCCCTCCGGGAATGAGTCAGAAGGGCCCCACTATCACAGTATCATAAACGAAACTTTCAAGTTCAGGAAAGTGCCTGTTTTCTCTTAAAATGTAATTGTATTTCCAGTTTTAAGTGATTTGACAGAATCGTGTAGGTAAAACGTCAAGGGGCGATGTGAGAAGCAAGAAATTTCGAAAAGGAAATGGGAAAACCTCAAACCCACGACGTTTTGGCTTGTCCCGCGGATTCTACTAAAAACGAATATAACTGTTCAAAAGGCAATTAACCAGCAATAATGGTGCTGGTGAAGCTAGGGCATTTGAGCTGTCCTCGGCGGGCCCTAAGAATTAGCGTCCTTCCAAAGTGTACATTGTGCGAGCGAAGCGAGCTAGAAGCCAGGGCTTTTCATTGCTTTAAGCTTGTTCAAAAGACTGATTTGGCAGTTTTGTGGCGCTCTGATTTTAGTCCTTGGCATCTGGGGCCGCAGACAGGGTCTTCGGGGGCCCCGGCCGGGCTGGGGCCCACCCGGGAATCCCCGGGCGCCCGGGCGGGCCAGTCCGCCCCTGCGGTGCATGTCTGGTCAATTTTTTACCTGGACTGTCCATACCCTTGCCAACCACGGAAGTTTCGTACATGTTTTCTGTACCAGTTTGCATGAGATCCTTACAGGGACCACAGAGAAACAGAAGGAAGGTCTGTACCTTTTCCGTACCCCATTTTCCGTACATTCTCCGTACCAAACCACGGAATTTTTGGCAGTGTACCTGAAGTTGAGCGTCTTTTCGAAGATGGACCATAGGTCGCCGAGGTAGCCGGTCAGGTTTACCGCTGTTCCCCGGCCGTGACTCATGACGTACGGCTTCAGCTGCAACAGTCCACATTCTATGATACAGTTCAAATTCACTAACCTGCCTACTTAATACACGCTTACAACTGCATATAGGACATTGAACACTTGCAAGCATACTTGGCAAATAAGCAATTACAACTGCATGCCTGGAACTCCATGCTACGCATGATAGGCACGTGAAGGCGTGTACTTGCAGGTATGCAATGCATTTGTGAGTGTGTTCTTAGTAGACAGGTTTTGTAAGTGGGTTGGGAATGATGAAGTGCACTGCAAGAAAAAGTGTGGATAGTACAACAAAAGTACAACAAAAACTGTACAATAAAAGTACAATAGGGATTGTAGAAAGTACAACGAGAATTGTATACCACAACGAGCCCTGTACGGCACAGCACTCATCATGCCGGCTCCATTGTACTTTGTACAACAATTGTTGTACTTGAAAAGTACACAAAATTCCTGATAAAAAATTTGCCAGAAATTTGTGTACTTTTGCTGTGGTTATTTCCTGCAGTGTGCACACTAAACTTCTTACGGATACATCCTATCTGTATTACGGACATTTTTGTGCAATTGCAATTACGGATAGATTTTGCTTGTAATACGGATGAAATCATCCGTATTACAAAGAGTTTTACGTCCGTACCATACGGATATTTTCGTCCGTAGGTTACGGACGTAAAACTCTTTGTAATACGGATGATTTCATCCGTATTACAAGCAAAATCTATCCGTAATTGCAATTGCACAAAAATGTCCGTAATACAGATAGGATGTATCCGTAAGAAGTTTACTGTGTGCACCATCAAAAACAGGGATGTCGTCTGCTCTACTAACAGTCCCTTACACCGTAAAATCTGCACCAGAGATTACCCGATTCTACAGATTCTGCAGATTACCAGATTCTGCAGGTGGCTCCTGGAAAAGGGATCCACTTTTTCAGGGCACGCCTGGGCATTAGGGTGCGTCGTCCAGAGGCGACTTTCGATATCAGAGTTTGAAGACCCCTAGAAAGTTTCGTATTTTGTGCTGATTTCGGAACTGACCTCGGTTTTTCGATCGGAGTTAATCTTCTTGGTCCTACCGGCCAAAATGTACCAAAAAGCGGCAGTTTCTGAAAAAAATGTTCAAAAAGGCGATTTTTCAGCCTCAATTCTGTGTTGAAACGTCCCGGAGTAATTCTGATGGTTGTTGTCAGTGCCAATGGGTATACACAACACCAAAAAAAAATATGAGAGCGAACTGGAACCTATCTAGCGGATATGCCGGGGCCTGCAATGAAAAAAAATTGTGAAAAAACTCCCTTAAACGACCATTTTTGGCCATCAGAGACCCCCCAGCGTCCGAGTTTTGGTGCCCTATGCGGTCAAAATGTTGGGTACTATCAAAGGCAAGAACGTAAGGTGAGCGGCGGAGGGCTGGGACGCATTTCAGCTTTCGCGCAGCAGCGGGAAACATTTTTAGGAAAAACTGAAAAAACACCAAAAAGCGCTTTTTGGAATTTTTTCGGTTTTTCGCCGGCCCAAAACCCCTACTATTGTTCCTCTTAGGTGACATTCGCCAAATACAACAATATACAAACGCAATTTAAACTCAGGATCAGGTCAGAGCCTCGTCTTGTTAAATTCACTAAAATTTAAAATTTATTTTAAAAGTGACCTTGGTCCTAACCTGCCATTCAAACGCTCAATCGCCTTTCCGACAAAGTAGGGGAAAAACTGCTTCGGCAGTTTTTACCTTCGACGGTGCCCCCCTGTGCACTGTGCGAAAAAACCACAGTGAATCCCGTTAATTTTTTTGCCGGGATTTACTGTAGTTCAGAACACAGGATTTACCGTGCCTGGCTACAGTATCTACTGTACCTGGTACAGGATATTCCGTACTCCACCCCTGTGGTACAGTAAATCCCGTGCAAAGTACAGTAGATCCTGTTAAAAAAGTACAGTAAATCCTGTACTCTGAACTACAGTGACAGCTGTACTAATCACTACAGGATTTACTGTGATTTTTTCCCACAGTGTGGGGCATATGGGCCCCATAACTCAGCTCATAATAACCTAATATCCGCATTGCAGCAGCAGCACCACTGGTAAAACTAAAGCGTAACTCTATGCTTGAGTCAAGCATAAAGTTACGCTTGAAGATGTTACGCTTGAAATGAAGCATACTCTGGATATTCCCCCACGCATTTATATAGGGGGAATCTTGGCGGATGAGTCTGTAACGCTTGATTTCAAGCGTAAACAGATTACGCTTGAAAACAGAGGGTAATACTACGCTTTAGTTTCACCAGTGACCCGCTTGTAACACTACTCCGATTAAATTAATCTTCTTATTTTAGGTATCTACAGCGACGCAGGACAAAAGACCCCGTGTGAGGTATCCCTTGGCCCCACGTGGGGTCAGAAATCGAACTTCTAGACCAATGCTGATAGAAACGTCGTTCTTTTTTCTTTTACTTCAACTGCTTTCTGACGGACGTTTTACGACGCTTGAAATGATGGGCGTGTGCGTGCGTACGTGCGGGCTTGAGAGGAGGTTGGGCTCACAGTTGCCTGTCGGGCGGTCGAGGTGTCAGTTCAACTGTACTGATCATTATGTTTAGTTCATATCATCGCATGCAAAGCAATTCTGTTCGAATATCCGTTCTTCTTTGGTCCATCGAAAATTTAGCGAAACGTGCCAAATCGTGAAATAACGCGTTCATCGCAGTACACTGCGAGAAAAAAGTACGTAAAAAGTACGCAACATGTCTGGTCTATAATTTGCCTGGACCGTCCGTACTTGCCAACTACGGAACGTTCTGTACTTTATACCGTACCCATTTACATGGGTTTATATGGCGAGCAAGTACGGAACGTTCCGTACACGGTAAAAAAGGTACCTGGTTTTCCCAGGAGCCCTATGGCGAAGACATAGGCGGTTTCCAGGGGGTTCCTGGGAAAACCATGAACCGTTTTTACCGTGTACTTTTCTCCGCACCTCCGTTCTATATTTTTCTGTACCAATTCCGTACAAAAGTACGGAGGTTTTTACAGTGTAAGATAAGTCGCGCGCCAGCTGTCACACACGCTACGTCACTGGCAATAGAAGCTGCTCACCGGACGGCTGAATATTCCCCGCGCATACTGCTGGCATTGAAGATGCTTCAGACTTCATTTGACAACTCGCAGAAAAAAAGTGTTACTGCGTCGCGGGCACGATTTTGTCTCTGTTCACCTACCTAGGTGATAGTCCCTACGGAGTGATAGATGGTGAGTGCTGACTCCCGGGTGGTAAGCATTGTTGCTTCGGACGTGCCGTACACCGGGGTAACGACAGCAAGGGTTACTTGAAACACTTTTGTACCCTTTTAGGCAAGCCACGCCAGCAGGGCACCTTCGAAGGTCAAAACTGCCGAAGCAGTTTTTCCCCTACTTTGTCGGAAGGACGATTGAGTGTTTGAATCGCAGGTTAGGACCAAGGTCACTTTTAAAATAAATTTTAAATTTTAGTGAATTTAACAAGACGAGGCTCTGACCTGATCCTGAGTTTAAATTGCGTTTGTATATTGTTGTATTTGGTGAATGTCATCTAAGAGGAACAATAGTAGGGGTTTTGGGCCGGCGAAAAACCGAAAAAATTCCAAAAAGCGCTTTTTGGTGTTTTTTCAGTTTTTCCTAAAAATGTTTCCCGCTGCTGCGCGAAAGCTGAAATGCGTCCCAGCCCTCCGCCGCTCACCTTACGTTCTTGCCTTTGATAGTACCCAACATTTTGACCGCATAGGGCACCAAAATTCGGA